TTATTGAGATGTAATTGACTAACATTATGTTAGTTTTAGGTATACAACATAATCATTTTTATATTTGTGTATATTGAGAAATTATTACCATAATAGGTCTAGTAAATCCATCATTACACATAGGTACAGATTTTCTTTTCTTGTGCTGAAGGTATTTTTAAAATATTTTATTGATTTTTTTACAAAGAGGAAGGGAGAGAGATAGAGATTTAGAAACATCGATGAGAGAGAAACATCAATCAGCTGCCTCCTGCACACTCCCCACTGGGGATGTGCCCGCAACCAAGGTACATGCCCTTGACCGGACTCAAACCTGGGACCCTTCAGTCCAAAGACCAACGCTCTATCCTCTGAGCCAAACCAGTTTTGGCTCATGTAGTATTTTTATTCTCAAGGTTTTGAAGAGCCTCCATACTGTTTTCTCCATAGTGGCTACCCCAATTTACAACCTCACCCAACCGTGCACAAGGGTTTCATTTTCTCCACATCCTTATCTTTTTGATAATATCATCTAACAAGTGTGAAGTGATACTTCACTGTAGTCTTAATATATCCTCACCTGAGGATATGTTTTTATTGATTTTAGAGAGATAGAAAGGGAGGGAGAGAGAGAAAAAAAAATCAATCAGTTGCCTCCCCTGTGAGCCCCTATTGGGATGGAACCACAACCTACGTATGTGCCCTGGCCAGGAATGAAACCTGCAACCTTTTGATGTGTGGGACAACGATCCAACTAATTGAGCCACCTGGCCAGGGTTGATATTTTTTCTATTTATCTGCCTAATAATTAGTGATGTTGAGCACTTACTTTCTCATTATCTATTGCCCATTTGTATGTCTTCTTTGGGAAAATGACTATTCAGATCCTCTGCCCATTTTAAAATCAGATTGTGTTTTTGGTATTGGGTTGTATGAGTTAAAGTTGTTTTTTAGGAGCAAACATTTACAGCTGGCTTAATGTAATGTTCCATTTTCCTCTGCCCAGATGCTCTTAATAAAAACACATCTTTGAGCTTGTGGATGACTTGTTTTGAAAAAGCCAACTGTGGGTTTTGAAGCAAAACCAACGGTCTTGTGTTCCCTTCAAAATGATGCCTACAAGGTACCCTCTGGATTTCGCCTCTTCCTAAAAGTCCTGGCCAGGTGTGCAATTTCTTGTCATGGAGTAACCCTTGTCCGCAGGGCCTGGCTCTTCTCCTTCATGCCTCAGCCTCAGAGAACACAGGGCACTCGTGACCCCAGAGAGCATTTTTCTGCTGTGACAAGTGACACAAGAGGGCAATTCTGGGCCTAGTACCTCAGAGATCCCAGGGACCTCTCCCCATTCTGAAAGCTGCACCCTTATTCTAGAAGTTATTTTATGGTGCATACATATACTATATAATAAAAGGCTAATATGCAAGTCTCTGGTCATCAGGTCCGCCATTGAGTCAATCAAAGTGTAGTAATTACAAAGTGTAGTAATATGCTAATGGTATGCTCGCTATGATGTGCATTGACCACCAGGGGACACATGCTCTGTATGGTAGGTTAGCTTGCTGAGTGATACAGGCTGGACCCACCCTGGAGCCCTCCCACTGTCTCTCCCCGGCTGGCCAACCTCCTACATCCCTCCCTGGCCCCAGTCGTGCACCCGGTGGAGTCCCTCTGCCTGGCCTGTGCCCTCTTGCAGTCTGGAACCCCTTGAGCGATGTCAGAGAGCCAGTTTCGGCAGTACAGCCAGTCACTATGATGTGCACTGACCACCAGAGGGCAGGCAGTCAACGCAGGAGCTGCCCTAGTGTTCAGTGCACTCCTACAGAGAGCCGGGCTCAATGGCAGTGCCAAGGATGTCCAATTGTCAGCTTAGGCCTGCTCCCTACCTAAGCCATCAGTCGGACATCCCCTGAGGGCTCATGGACTGTGAGAGGGCATAGGACAGGCTGAGGGACACACCCCCCATCCCCGAGTGCACAAATTTCGTGCACTGGGCCTCTAGTATTAATATATGATACAAAATATATAATGTTCAAAAACAAAATTCAACTTCAGGTTTTAAAGATCTTATTGACTTTATTCAGATTCAGGAATCAGGCAGCATCCCATCTAAAGAAGCCCCAATGAGCTGTTCAATTTTATAGGCAGGAGTGGGACAAGGAGTTTAATAGCAAAGAGTAGATTGTTTGTGGAAAGATCACCTTCTTTAGGGGGTAGCGAGGGTGTATTAAGCAGATTACCTCACTGGTGCTGACCAGGTGATTCCAGATTGACTGGTTTAACATTCCACTCCTGGGAGAAGTTGAACCTGTAAGTTATATATTAAGTCTTAGTTTGATGATTTGGGGCTTAGCACACGTGACTACATTTTGGACCTATTGTCTCTCTCTCTCTTTTTAAACAATAAAGTGATGCAGATTGCCTTTTTAATCTAGCCCATAGCACAGTAGTTTGAGTTTGCTGGTTGAGTCCCATTATTTTGACATAAATTTAGTTGGTTGTGATCAGCTTTATTGAAATTAAATAGAAGAGAGGAGAAGGGAAACGGCAGAGCAAATAGTACTTTTAAAAAGGTATCTTTTACTTTCTGAAACTTCGTTTTCTTTAGGGCATGCATGCATGAGTGTATGGGAGTATAAGTGAATGTATGATGTAAAATATATTTCCTAGTTTAAAATATTTCTTAAAACAAATAACTGTTGTCCAGCCAGTGTTGCTCAGTGGTTGAATATCCACCTAGAACCAGGAGGTCACAGTTTGATTCCCAGCCAGGCATGCCCGGGTTACATGCTCCATCTCCAGTAGGGGTCATGCAAGAGACAGCCAATCAGTGATTCTCTCTCATCCTTGATGTTTCTCTCCCTCTCTCCCTTCCTGTCTCTGGAATCAATAAAAATATATTTTCTAAAAGAAAAAAGAAGAAAAAAAATTTAAAAGGAAATAACTGTTTAGCTAATAAACATGAAAAAATTTTTTAAAAAGAAAGAAATTTGGTATTACTAGAGACAAGGTATAGTACTAGAAACAAAGGACATTAAGAAACTTCCTCCCAGTTGCCTACCTTGGTGCAGAACCCTGGGCTCTTGCTCTGGAGGGGGGGAGGGTAGCAGGTCCTGCAGGGACTGAAGGAAGTCGACATGAGAGCAGTTGGCTCTGGCATGTGGATTGCTTGTGCCAACTGAGGACACTTACCATGTTCCAGGCCTCATCCTGGGCCACGTGGGCTGTTGGTCACTATTTAACCAACATGAGCTCTGGGTGATGCTCAAGGAGCCCGTGTTCTGGAGCACAGGTGTAGCGGCCCAACCTGGGGGCTGGACACATGCAGAGAAGACCCAGCCAGGTAGCCCCACGCCAGCAGTAAGAGCGAGCGCCCTGGTAACTGTTCTGAACATGGATCCAGTGCAGGGCAGTAGGAGATACAGTTCAGTGAGGGGACCTCCCTAGGGTAGGTGCGCATGAATTCAGAATTACGTGGCCTCTTCGGGGGAGGGGGCCGGTGGAGAGCATGGAGGGGGTCCCTGAGTGCAATAGGAAGGGCTTTGACTACCAAAGAGAGTAAGAAGGGGGGAAGGGGGGTACCCACACATGACTGGTGTCCTCCCTCTGTTACTGAGTGAGTAGGCATAGAAGTTGACAATTATAAAAAGTCACAGGGAGCCCAGCTGGCGTGGCTCAGTGATTGAGCATCAACCTATGTACCAGGAGGTCATGGTTTGATATTCCCAGTCAGGGCACATGCCCGGGTTGGAAGCTTAATCCCCAGTGTGGGGCGTGCAGGAGGCAGCCAATCAGTGATTCTCTCTCATCATGGATGTTTCTATCTCTCTCCCCCTTGCTCTCCGAAACCAATAAAAATATATTTTTTAAATAAATAAATAAAAAGTCACATGGACCCTTTTTTAAGAAGATGGCGCCAAAAGTGAAAAAGGAAGCCCCTACCCCTCCCAAAGCCAAAACCAAAGCAAAGGCTTTGAATCCAAGAAAGCAGTGCGGAAAGGCGTCCATAGCCACACACAAAGATCAGCATGTCACCACCTTCTGAGAGCTAAAGACACTGAGGCTCCGGAGGCAGCCCCAATATCCTCAGAAGAGCGCACCCAGGAGAAACAAGCTTGCCCACGATGCCGTCATCAATTTCCCCCTGACTGCTGAGTCAGCCATGAAGAAGGCAGAAGACAGCACTATACTTATGTTGATTCTGTGCAGAAGCTCTGTGACATTGACGTGGTGAAGGTCAACATCCTGATCAGGCCTGATGGCGAGAAAAAGGCATATGTTCGACTGGCTCCTGACTGTGATGATGCTATGGATGTTGCCAACAAAATTAGGATCATCTACATTGAGTCCAGCTGGCTAATTCTAAATATAAAAATTTTACACTGTAAAAATAAATAAATAAATAAATGATGGGAATGGCAACTACAGTATAGGGCAGTGGTCGGCAAATTGTGGCCCACATGCAGCTCTTTGGCCCCTTGAGTTTTTAGCAAAGGCCAGCTTAGGAGGACCCTATTTAAGTTAATAACAGTGCACCTACCTATATACCATGTTTCCCCGAAAATAAGACATCCTCCGAAAATAAGACCTAGCACATGGAAAGATAAGACATCCCCTGAAAATAAGACTAGCGCAACTTTGGGAGAAAAAATTAATATAAGACACTGTTATTTTCGGGGAAACAGGGTAGTTTTAAAATTTTGGCTCTCAAAAGAAATTTCAATCATTGTACTGTTGATATTTGGCTCTGTTGACTAATGAGTTTGCCGACTCATTAGTAGGTATAGGCTAAAAGGCAGGTGACTCAGAGGCCTGTTTGTGACAATCAAATAAAATACTCTTGTAAATGATTAAGTCATCAGTGGAGGGAACTGTGGCATTCTTTCCCTGTAGGGAGACAGACACACTCAGTTCTTGCTTCAAGTGAATGGGGCATGCGGCAGAAGGGGAAGGCCCTTTCTCATCCGGTTTCATGCTCCCTCTTGTTCCGCAGGACCTGGCTCCACTGTCCCCAGCAGCCTGGAATGGGTAATGGTGTGAAGGAAGGCGCGGTGCGATTGCGTGAGGATGCCGACACCGTCCTGCCCTCATCCGTCCCTTCAAAGGCAAGTACCTGCCCTCATGCGTTCTCATGGTCCTTCTCCTGTGGGTTTGCACCCATCACAGATCATCCCCTACACTGATGTGGGGCTGCATCCGTGTGAGACCGTGGGTGGGGGAGATGCTGGCTACCCCATTTGTGATGTGAATCCAGCCCCCAACCACTTGGCAAGAGCCAAAACCTTACCCAAATTTGGCTGGAATGTTCAAAGTTGTCCTGGAGCCCATTTACTCTCTCAGATTTGCAAACACAAAAGAATCGGCAAACTCGGGCTCATTTGTGAGGAAGGGCCCTCACGGCCTATCCTAGCTCTCAGGGCAGGTCTCAAAGTTTACAAGTTCAAAGGCTGAGGTGGTGATCCTCCCAACCCTCGGGACCGTCCCCAAATTCCAGAAGGCCCTGCAGAGTGCCAGGCAGGTGGGAGGACTGGCTTGTGGGCCAGTGTGCTGGGCCACTGTCCCTGTATCATGTGGAGCATTGAGGGTAAGCCTATAGCAGGCATGCATGTGCCTCCCAGTTTAGTGAACTTCCTAGCAGAGCACGAGGCAGACTCAGCCCCTCTACTTGCTGGTTGGATCCCAGCAAAAGGCCTGTCTGTTCCCATTTCATGCCTGGATACCCAGTGCCCATCTTCTTCTGTGCCGGCCACACATCTGACATCAGCCTGGTCCACTTGGCCTGTCCGATGAGGGAGCTCACCCTGTAAATCTGTTTCTTTGGTTAAGAAGCCCAGAGTCTTCTCGCAGTGCCCACGGCTGTTTGGATCTGTGATGGCCCTCGTTCTCCGTCGGACTCCAGGATCCCTCCATACAATGGACAAGGACACATTGACCACTTGCTGATACCTGTGCTTAACAATTCAAAAAATAAGCTGCTGTGGTAGTAAGAGCCCCTGGGCAACATCTGCTGAGCCAGGAAGTGGACTTACAGAGCGTCAGGAGCCCCCTGGAGCGCAGGGCTTAAGGACATGTGTTCCAGACGCAGAGCTGGCCTTGGGATTGTAAGAACCACAGATTGCACAGGAAGTGACCTGCAAAAGGAGGCCCCAAGGACCCAATGGCTTCGCCTTCAGTGCTGACAGGCACCTAAGCTGCTGTGGGGTGTTCCCTTGGCTCACAGCGGGGTGAGCAATTGCTCATTGGTTCACAGAGATGAAACTGAGGCAGGGAGCAGCTTCTAGGAGTACCACTGAACCTTCTAGCACCTGGCATTCATATCCCTCAAAGCCAGCAGGACCGGACGACCAGAACCTTGCTGTGTGACCCAGAAAAGCCAGGGGTCCCAGTGACAGGCCTGTGTGAATCAAGGAGCAGACGGAACCCTCTGGTGAAGTTCTGCCTCAGAAACAGGAGGAAACACTTCTCTGGGCAGGTGGAGGGGGTGCCAGGGCGTTAAGGGAAAGGAGCTGGGCCATCCAGGCTGGGGCCAGGTTGCAGGGCACACAGCCACTGGGAACACCTGGGACACAGAAGAGGATCTGGGAGTGGTCCCTGGACCAGGAGACACCATTCGGCGTGTCAGAGATGAGGAAGGAGAGACTGGAGAGGCCATCTGCTGGTCACTGCAGTCAGGACAGAGTCCAGAATCAAGCCAGAAATGTGGACAGACCCCGGGCCAGGCCCTCCACCCCTGGGCCACTGCTGAGCTGAGCGGACTTGGTGAGGAGTTGCCCTGAGCTCCACCATATCCATTCAGACCTAGGCTGCCAGTTTTACCCCCAAATGCCCTCACAGTCTCCCCTGTTGCACCCTCTCTTGTCACAGCCTCTGCCACTCCATCTCAATTACTGCAGGAACCACCTCTTCTCTGGTCATCGTGAAAACAGCCCGTCCACTCTGTGCTTCTCCATGTCTGTCTGGGCAAAAGCCAGCCTCTTTGTGGCCCCCACCTGGATTGGCGACTGCGCACCTTTGTCTGAAGATTTAGTTCATGTCTTGCTCTCTCCGAAGATCACGGGGGTTGGGGGGTGGCTCTGAGGGGGTTGCTGGGGGGACAGGCACCGCATGTCTCCAGACCCCTCAGGGCACCTTGTCTTCGTGGGACTTCATGGATTCCTGGGGTCATTGGACGACCTGATCCTTGCCATTCTTGCTCATTGTTGACGAAGGAGAGCTGAGGGCGCCTCCAGTCCAGAACATTGCAGAGTGCTCACCGCAGTTGCTTGTGAGAGTCAGGTGGAGGAATAGACTCCAACCCAGTGAGACTGCCCAGGACTCGGATGGACATGGAAGGGAAGGAAGGCGGGAGAGAGGCTGTACCAGGAGGACTTGGAGAGCCTCCAGAAGACGGGGGAAGTGCCGGCCCTGAGGCTGCCACTGGAGCACGAAATGCAGGCCGGCCACCCTACCCACCTCCCTGGCCTTGGCTGAAGGGCCACAGACACCAGTCCCTGTGTCCCCTTTCTACATCTTTGTAGAAAGGGGACACACTGGCACAGGCAGGGTCCTCTTGCCCAGCACCCCCTGCCTGTCTCCCCCCACCGCCACAAGGACCCTCATGACTTTGCCCTGAAACACTACAATGCAGGGAGTCCGGCACACGTGGGCGGACAGAACCAAGGCTTATAAGATGGGCCAGGGGTGACTTATGTTTGGAGTCAGTCCCATTGTGGCCCAGACAGGGCATCACCTCTCATGGGTGGACCCTAGCAGCTGGGAGGTTTTTCACTGTCTCCTGCTTGTCCAGGGACCACACGAGCCAGGACACTCACGCTGCTGTGCATCTCTCCGCCCTGGTCCAGGGCAGCGGGGTGACGGACGGTGAGGAAAGGGGATCTTGGTGTCACCCCCAGGGGAGCAGACCTCTCCCTCCCTCTCTGACAACAGACGTGTGTTCATGTGTTTCTTGCAGACCGATCACAGGCAAGTTCTCAGCTCCCTCTTTTCTGGGGCCCTGGCTGGCGCTCTTGCCAAAACAGCAGTAGCTCCCTTGGACCGAACCAAAATCATTTTCCAAGGTAAAAGCTGTCTGTCTGTCTGTCCCTCTGTGATAGAGTTGCTGCCAGGCAGTCACCCTCTTCACAGCTTCCCAGACTGCACTGTGAAGCGGAGTCCTGGGGCGGCCCGCACACAGTACCACACACCAGGCAGCTTAGAACCAGAGTTTATTCCCTCACATTTCCAAGGCAGAAGTCTGAACCGAGGTGCTGGCAAGGTTTGTCCCTTCTGGAGGCTCCAGGAGAAGAGCCTTTCCCAGCTCTGGGGGCGCCAAGCATCCTTGGCTTGTGGCCGCATCACTCCGATCTTTGCCTCCCTTCTTGCCTGTGTCCTCTCCTCTCATGAGGACACCGAGCATTCGATTAGACCACTCGCATACAGCCTCGGTTTAATTTAATGACATCTGCAGAGGCCTCATCTCCACAAGGTCCTGAGGGTGAGGACAGGGCCGTGTCTTTTTGGGGGACACAGTTCAAGACACCATCTCTCTCCCCTGAGGGGGAAACAGACTCAGGGTCCCCCGAAGACGAAGCCTTTCCACCCTGTACGGTGGCCAGTGGCTGCTCGGCACAGGCAGGAGCGTGGCCACAACCTGGGACCCCCATCCTTCAGCTGTTTTAAAAGAGAAGCCCCCCCCCCCAATATCTTGGGCTGGTACCCTAGCCCCTCTGTGCCTCGGTTTCCTTATCTAGACAACAAGGACGATAACAACAACTCCCCCCCAGAGGCTGTGGAAAGAGCAGGCAGGAGGGAGCTCCCTGTGTTCCTTCCTCCGTGTCAGCTGCGTTTTTCCCTGGCGAACCTGAGGGGCAGCGCCCGCAGGGCCCGCTGTAACTCTGAAGGCAGAGCGTGTGCTCACCTCCACGCAGACGAGAGTGCAGGGTGTGTTAGAAACTAAGTAGAGGCTCAGAAAGTGAGGAGCGGGAGACTACAAGACAGAGACTCCCCGGTGAGCCTGTCCTGGGGAGTTGGATCGCCTGGGCTGATCCTCACAAGAATAAGGACTGGGACACCTTCCTCGGAGGGGTTTGGTTGGGTGGGGATGCTGTCACCCCTCCAGAGGCACATCCACAGACCCCCGGGCAGTTCACCCCCGCTTCCTGGGGACAGGCTGGCATGCTGAGTGGCCGGGTCCAGGGGTGAGGAGGTTCCCGGGAGGAGAGTGATCCTGCTCAGGACTCTCCCCCCTCAGCCCTTTGAGGGGGAGGGAACATGCTCGGGGGCTGCTGTCATTCCCCAGCTTAGACATGCAGCAGGGGGTCATGCAGACTAGGGGGGGGGGGTCCTCTCCTTCGCATCTAACGGTCTGTTTGTGTTGTTTTCCCCCCCAGTATCTTCAAAACGATTTTCTGCGAAGGTGAGCCACTAGGTCACCAACTCCTGGCTCTGGGACTGTCACAAGCTGCCCTGCTGGACAGGCAGGAGGCTGTGGAGGCCTTGGGGGAGGGAGGGATAGGGAGATGCTTTTCCCCTTTGGTCCCCCCTCCCCAGGCTGGTTCCCAGAAGCCCCCCTGCGGGGGGTGGGATCACTTGTCCTGGCACCCTGGGCACTGCCTGGATGCAGCCCACTGGGAACTCACAGGAGAGTGCCTGTCCTAGGGCTGGGGGTCAGGTGACTTGATGTTTTAAACCCGTATTATTTTTAAACATGGAGCAGGTGTTACTTAATAAAGAAAAGAAAACATTTTTAAAAGCTAGCCTACCAGACAACCATCAACAAAACGCCCTGTGTGGGGCTCTGAGCTTGCTTTGCAAACCTGGCGTTCCCTCTCATTTTACAGATCCCAGGTGGAGGGCTGTGTGGGCAGAGAAGGTAGTGGGTAGTGGGGCCCCAGGCACAGGGCTGGACAAAGCAAAGCAAGGAGTTCCCGGAGCAGGAGAGGAGAGGACAGGCGGAGGCGTTAACCTTGTCCTCCCTCTAGGAGGCCTTCCGGCTGCTCTACTACACCTACCTCAACGAGGGCTTCTTCAGCCTCTGGCGCGGGAACTCGGCCACCATGGTGCGAGTGGTGCCCTACGCTGCTATCCAGTTCAGCGCGCACGAGGAGTACAAGCGAATCCTGGGCCGCTACTACGGCTTCCGTGGAGAGTGAGGCCCCCACCCCTCCTCACCCCCTCCACCCTACAGCCCCCTGCTCTTCTGTCTTCCTCTCACATGCTCACCATGTGAGAACCCAGGTCCCTACCGTTCACCCACTGAATCGTCCACCTAGAGACTCCACCATCTCAGCTTCCAGAAAGCCAGCCCCCCTGTCCTTGGTTGTTTCACACTGAGAGCTGTGGACCTTGGGATGGGCCTCCCTCCTGGGGGCCTTGGGGTCTCACTATCTCTCCTCCCCCTCCCCCCTTTCAGAGCCCTGCCCCCCTGGCCTCGCCTCCTGGCAGGGGCCCTCGCCGGAATCACAGCTGCTTCACTTACCTACCCCCTGGACCTGGTCCGAGCCCGCATGGCCGTGACCCCCAAGGAAATGTGAGTCCTACCATGGTGACCTTCACCAGTGCCAGGAGCTGTGTCCAGTAGGGCCCCCACGTTGAATCTCTCTGTCCTATCCTTGGGTTTGGGTCTGGGCCTCTGTGTCCAGCCCACAGAGGAAGCTCAGGGTGCCACCCACCACATGGGCCCTGCCTGGTACCACAGGGCGGGCCGATCTCTAAGCCCGGGGGTCAGTTCTGCTTCCATAAAAGCTGAGCCTTCGTTTTTAATTGGCCACAGTCACATTAAAACCACGGGAACACGAGGCCCAGGGCTGAGTGCACAGCCCACCCTCCAGCCCCTCTGTCCCGGCAGGTACAGCAACATCTTTCACGTCTTCATCCGCATCTCCCGGGAGGAGGGGCTGAGGACCCTCTACCACGGCTTCACGCCCACCGTGCTGGGCGTCATCCCCTACGCCGGGCTGAGCTTCTTCACCTATGAGACTCTCAAGAGCCTGCACAGAGGTGAGGAGGGGGTGGGCAGCACCCACGGTCACACAGACCTGGGGACCAGGCACTCGGGCCCCCAGGGGCAGGCAGGCTGGGGGCCCAGCATCCGAATCAAGAGAAGACACATGACGTCAGGAGTCATGTGAGGAACCCAGACGGAGGACCTTTAATGCCCAGTGTCAGAGCAGCCTCGTAAAGGTCAGGGTGGCCCCGAGTGTTGGTGGCCCTTTGTGCAGCACCGGCACCTGCACAAAGCCCATGGAGGAGGTGTGTTCAACTTTGAGAGACTTGAAAAGCACAGGGAACAGTATAACAACCCCCACCGCCACCCATCACGTGCTGGCGGCTTCCTCTCCACGGTCGCGAATACTTGTGCACTTATTATGCGGCAGGAACAATCCCTCATCCGGTTTCCTGGTTATAAAAGGTAAAGAGTTGAGTCACCTTCCACACCTCTGGGTAGTGCAGCTCTGGCTCAGCCGGTATTGAGTCATCTAAGTAAGGGGAGGGGCATTCAGGCTGTTGGCAGACTTTCTGTGGCCGTGGACTTCCAGGAGTGCCTCCTTGAGGGTGTGGGGGGAGGTGCGAGACCCCGTTGCCAGTTTGATGCTGCCTGGGCCCTGGCCCCACATGCACCCCAAGTGGTATTGTCAGTTTACTTGATGTTTCCCTGAGGAGGTGAGTGAGCAGTGGTGTCTCCTGTTTTTAATTCCCAGTTATAAGTTTCCTACGCATGTCTGGAGAGCCCCTGCTGATGGGTTGCACATCCGCGGTCTCTTTGGACCCAGGAGGCAGTGCTGGGTGTTCACAGTTCTGCTTGCTCTCAGGCCCCTGTGCAGGACGGCTGGGGAGGGGATGGGGGAAGAGGCGGGGAAACACTGATGTCTTTACTGGAGGGAAGACAAAGGTGATTCCTGGGAGCTCATTCTGGGACTTTGGAATCACGTGCTTTTCTGTCTTAAACAACAACAACTTTTATATCTCAATTTAATAAAAAGACCAGGAGGTGAGGAAGTGGCCCCGGATGGGAAGGTGCCGGGGACCCTCCTTCAGGTCCTGAAACACAGGGACGACACTGTGCGGGTGTCTGTGGGCGCAGTGGGCGCTCCGGGGGCGCCCTCACAGCCCCCCCTGGCCCTCCCCACAGAGTACAGCGGCCACCGGCAGCCCCATCCCTTCGAGCGCATGATCTTCGGGGCCTGCGCGGGCATCATCGGGCAGTCCGCCTCGTACCCGCTGGACGTGGTGCGCAGGCGCATGCAGACGGCTGGCATCACGGGCCACCCGCGCACCTCCATCGCCTGCACGCTGAGCACCATAGTGCGGGAGGAGGGCGTGGTGCGCGGCCTCTACAAGGGCCTGAGCATGAACTGGCTCAAGGGCCCCATCGCCGTGGGCATCAGCTTCACCACCTTCGACCTCATGCAGATCCTGCTGCGGCGCCTGCAGAGCTAGGGGCCGGCGCGTGGCCGCCCTCAGGACCGGGAGCCACGCCCCAGCACGCGGAGGACCGCTGACCCCTAAGAGTTTGGAGCCTGGGCACTGAGGGGCCACTGGCTCTGCCCAGAGCCACGTGGGAATGTCTGATGGAACGAGCGGGCAGGCCAGGAGGCCTGGGCTCGGTGCCCGTGGGCCCGCGAGGAACGCCAGAGGCCCTTGAAGTGCAGTGTTGTTGGCCAGGAGCCCACAGCCTCTCCTCTTCCCTCCTCCCTGGAGCTGGCCCTGCTTCCCGAAGTGCCCCTCCCCCCAAAACACCCTGACACGGGAGTGACCAGCGCCACCAACTGGTGCTCTGTGCCCATGGACACGCTTCTGGTACTAGTGACCCTGTCCCTACTAGGCTCAGAGCCAGACTCCGCCCGCCCCTTAGTGGCCCCAGCTGTGCTCAGTGCTCAAGGTGGAGTAGCCCAGAGTGGGGAGAGGCCTGGCCTCACCTGTTCACATGGGACCAGTCTCCTGCTCAGCTGCGGCTACAGATGCAGCCTCTTGCCTGCCCTTCCCTTTTTCTCCCCCTTCCTTACCAGGTGACATGACTCCGCAACCCCGAGTCTTCCGCTGGCAAACAGCCTTCTCCAAGTGATCCTGACTTCATGCCAGGGTGGGGCCCTGGGGCCAATTTTACCCCCTGATGCCCACCCTACAGCTGCACCCATGGAGGCCGAGCCTCCTGCCCTGACCTTCTACAGGCACAGAGGTTTCTGGGGGACCTATAGCATCTGGCACATCCTGGACTCCCCACCTGAGTGGGCGCTTGGCCCGGATAAAGCCTCCAGGGCTGTCTCATTTCCATGAACAGAATGCATGGAGGGGGTGGTAGCCTTGATCGTCCCAGTTTGGAGCCTGAGACAGTGTGTGGCGTGGGGTGGGCAGTTCAGAAGAGTTCAGTTACCATGGGGCACCCCCAGGGAGCCGGTCTCGAGAGAAGTTCCCGCCCCCCGGGTATCACAAGGACTCACAAACACCCATTACCTACTGACATGGGAAGGTGTTTGGCTCTTTTGGTTTTAAAATTTGGCTGACCTTGGGTCTAGTCACAGTACACCCTCACCAGCCCCATCATGTGTGAAATGATCTGTGTGCTTGCTCCACACTCATTCCCAGTCATGGCCCATTTCTTAACCTTTGCTCTGTCCCACGTCTGTTCTTGCCTTGGACCTGTGGTGTGCCCGTCCTTGCATGTGTCCATGGCCGGCCCCCGGATCATTCCCAGGCTCTGTCCTCAGGGACCCAGGCAGCCTGTGATCGCTGTCCTGTGGGTGTTTCACGTCCTCTCTCAGCCTTGCCCAGCACTCAGGAGAGGCAGGGATCCCTCACAGGAGACAGGATGGGGGCTCCAGGCCAGAGAGAGCACCAGGGACTGGGGCCCACGTCGGGTGAGTGAGACCAGGCGGCACCCTCCTCTGAGCTGCAGGCTGGGCAGGAGCAGGAGGGTCCTCCAGGTCCTACCGCCGGCCGTGCGCCTCCCCAAGGTCGCTCCCAGCCCTGAGGGCCCCGGCAGCACCATACCCACTCCCCCAACCCCACTCTCAGCCGGGCTGGCACCCTCCGCGGTCACCCTCCCCACTGGCTGCCGGTCCTGGTCTGGAGTTATTTTGATGCCATGAAGAGACTTTGTTAATATATAATGTTTATATATTTTAAAGATTTGTGCCAAGAGAGTATATTTAATAAAAATTAAATTGACTTTTCCTCCTGCTCATGTCTCTTTTCTTGGACTCTGACCCCCACCCACCATGAACTAAAAATAGGGTTAAAGTTGGTTTGATAAATTTTTAAATAAAGCCATGAATGAAACTTTTTTAAATGTAATTTCTTATTCATTCATACTGTGATTTTCTAGAAAGTGCAAACTGCATGAAAGGGTTTACCACGTAGGTGGGTCTCCCAGCTCCTCTGGAGGAGCATCCCACTTACTAGTTTGTGTGACAGGCATGTCTTTCCAGACATCAGCCAGGATGGGCCGTATCCTGCTCAGCAAGGGGGCCCCAGAGAAATCCCAAGGTTTCTCTCTCACTCCCTGTCATGTGCTGGGGGCTCCGGTCCATAGCTGGATGAAGTCTTGGATTCAGTGTTGCCATCTTCAGCTGCAGGAGGTGAGGGCACCGGAGGTCTGTCTCAGTGGCCATGGCATCCAGGGCATACCAATCAGAGCAGGAAGTGGGAGCCTTGTGTGTAGGTGGTGAGCAACATGGTATTTACTTACTACTTAACCTCATCTATTTATTCATTCCTGGGCCAGCTTTTTGCCGTGAGAAATAATGCTGTAACTGCCACCTTGGCTCCTGCACCCACAGGTGAGAATCTCCCTGGATGTGTCCCTGAGGGACCAGCCAGCTGTGGAGTCGCCGCTTCCAGGTACAAGTGCTCTTCGGTGCAGTTGTGTGAACTTCGGTACCCACAAGCATTGTGCAAGTTCAGCCACAACCAGGCTGGGGGCCTCCAACTCCCCACATGTGGGTGCCACGTGGTACCTCCTTGTGTTTTAATCACATCTTCCTGTGATCCTTGCAAGGCCAAGCATCTCTTCATGACTGTTGGTTGTTTATTACCCTCCTCTTCATCATTCTATGCACTGTAGACCAAAACACCGGCCTGGTAGAAAGGTGATATGTTCTCCAGTGACCTGAGCAGGAATCTTGTGTGTTTTGTGTTTTTATGCCCCAGCAAGGCAGCAGTGTGTGTGACACAGACACTGGAGAGAAGTGGCTGCAGCTTCTTCACGCAACTCTGCCAAGCCCCAGTGTGCAGTGGGCCTCAAACACCTCCAGTGAGGGTGAGTCAAGACTTGGGTGAACTCTGGTGTGTTCTGCTGGGGTGGGCAACATGATGGGTGATGCTGTTCTGGCTCTTGATGTGAAATACACCTAAAGATACGCTGTGGGGCCCAGGAGAGCCAGGTGGGAATCCTGGAGGGCAGCTGAGGGAGGGAAGGACCCCACCTGAGGAATTGGGAAAAGCCCCCCAAGGCCTGGGAACTCCCTGCAGGGTGGGTGTCAGGCAGCAGCCCCAAGGCTGGCACTGGGAAGCCATGTAGGGTGGTTAAGCAGGTGAGGGAAGGTGGAGGGGGAGCTCAGGCGGGGAGCCAGGCTACTGAGCAAGGGGATGGGTGCAGGACCTGTAAGCTGAGGTTCCAGAGAACTCTGGTGAGGCGGCGGAAGCAAGAGCACCCCAAGGCCCAGCCCGAGCACCTGCCTTCTACCTGGGAGACAGACCCAGACTCAAGTCCCTGATTTGTATCTTCTGATAATTCCTAGTGTTTCCTAAGATCTTAGGTCACATTCAGGTAACTTCTGATAATTCCTAGTGTTTCCTTAAGATCTTATCTTTGCTGTGGTTGATTTTTTCCCCCTGCTCAGCTTGTTGTGTATGTGTGTGCTGTGTGTATGTGTGTGTGTGTGTGTGTGTGTGTGCATGGCATTGTGGGGAGCCCAGATCCTGGCTATTTTATCTTCAAGGCTGTCACGGACTGATGTCTCCCTTGGCTCCCTAAGTCCCTGTTAAAACCCAGTGGTGTTAGGCGATGGGACTTGGGGAGGTGCTTAGGGTCAGATGAAGTCATGAAGGTGGGGCCACCATGATGGATTGGTGCCCTTCCTTTTTTTTTTTTTTTTTAATATATTTTATTGATTTTACACAGAGAGGAATTGAGAGGGACAGAGAATTAGAAACGTCGATGAGAGAAACACCGACCAGTTGCCTCTTGCACACCCCCCACTGGGGATGTGCCTGCAACCAAGGTACATGCCCTTGACCGGAATCGAACCCGGGACCTTTCAGTCCGCAGGCCGACGCTCTATCCACTGAGCCAAACCGGTCCCAGCTCTTTTTTTTTTTTTTTTTTAAATATATTTTATTGTTTTGTTGTTGTTTTTTTACAGAGAGCAAGAGAGACGGATAGAGAGTTAGAAACATCGATGAGAGAGAATCATCGACCAGTTGCCTCTTGCACACACCCTACTGGGGATATGCCCGCAACCAAGGTACATGGAATCAAACCTGGGACCTTCCAGTCCACAGGCTGACGCTCTATCCACTGAGCCAAACCGGTTTCGGCGAATTGGTGCCCTTCTAAGAGTCACACCAAAGAGCTGGCTCTCCTCTCCATCCTCCACTGTATGAGAAGTGGCATCTATAACCTAGAAGTGGTGCTCTCCTGGCCAGGCCAGAGCCCTAATCTTGGACTTCCAGCCTCCAAAACAGTAAGAAATCAATTTCCTTTGCTTGCCAGCCCCTCAGGCTATGGCATTTTGTTATAACAGCCAGAATGGACCACGCCACTGGCAGAGTGGTCCTTCCCTAAGTCATGGCCCATATCGCTTTCCCCAGCTCTGTCCTCGCAGTCTTCTTGGTAAGAAGTCTGGTTTTTTTCTCTCAGGAGCTGGGTGCCCTCAAAGCCCTCAGGCTCCCTAACTGAGGCAGCCCCTCATTAGGGAATGGAGTCTGCCCCCAACCCCTTCTGGCTCCTGGGCAGAGCTGTGTGCAAGGGAACAAGCAGCTGTCGCTGAGCAGAGTGGTGGCAGGGGTGTGGGGTGTTTGGGTCAGGGTGGTTTTGAAGACGTTGCAGACAGGTTTCTGAGTAGGCTGGGTAAGAGAGAGAGAAATGTAACAGAAAAATGGAGCTGCTGTGCCTGAGGGGTAGGAGGGGAAGATCAAGAGCACTGGAGTGCTGGCTGAGCTGCCCGAGACACCGAGGACCATAGAAATAAAAATGGGACTTGCTGACAAACATCTAGAGCCCACAAGGAAGGATGGAGAGGAAGGGAGAGGGGAGCCAGGAGCCTGTGGGGGGTGAGGAGAGCCATAGGGGAGGCCAGTGGTGACCAGATCGTGCCTTGTGGGGAGGGGACAGCGAGGGCAGGTGAAGGCTGGACTTGACAGTGAGGCTGTTTCAGATCCGTGGGCACCTCAGGGGCTGTTTCAGTTTGCAGCACCTTTTCTTTGCACTAGTTTTTTCCGTGGCTGACTTCTCTTGATTTGTTTTGGGGAGCTTTTCTCTTTTTAGTTCTCCTTTTCTTCAGATGGTTTGGAAATTATAGTCAATGTCTTGTGATGTAGGGTTTCTCAGCGCTACTGATGTCTGGAGCCAGGTTTTCTTGGTTGGGGATCATGCTGGGCACTGTGGGGTGCTGAGCAACACCCTGGCCTCCCCCCACCAGATGCTATTAGCCTCTTCCCTCCCTCCATATGTGACATCCAAAAATGTCTCCTTCACTGACTGGTGTGTCACTCTGGGGCAGAATGATCCCCTCCTGGAGTGGCACCAATATGTGGTAATTACCACTGATGAGTCCACAAAAACTAAAATACTTCTGAAAGCACAGGATCTTTACCACCATCTTCCATCTTCCCTATTTTTCTCTCACCTTATTGCTTCTCATTCTTACCTTCTGTGCGTGTGTGTGTGTGTGTGTGTGTGTGTGTGTGTGTGTGAAATGTGCACAGACTGTAAATATCTGGTTTGATGCATGACAGCGAAGGCTATAACTGTCACTGGTTCTTCCGGCGTTGGCTGTCCCACAAGTGCTGCACCCATTGTGCCTGCTGTTTGTCAGCCACTGCCTTGCTTCTGTTTACGGTGTTTCTGCCTTCCTATGTGTCCCTAGACCACATGGTGTTGAGCTCCAGAGAGCATGCACAGCCATGGTTGGGCAAGCAAGAGGCCAGGTACCCTAAGGCACCACCGCAGGAAGAAGTGTGCTCAGATGGTGACTCCTGAGGTGCCAGGGGGCAGTGTGGGTCCTGCAGCGTGGGGAGAGGATGTTCCATTAGCTTGAGGCATCCGAAGACTCCCAGGGCGGGGCCTCAGCACCTGGAACCTTGCCTTGCTCCATGGAATGTTCTTCCTCTGTTGGCTTGGATCTCTTCTGCCAGAACTATTTTGAAGATTCTTCTTCTAAAAACAATATTCAAATTTCCTCTTTGTTAGTTCTTGTTTTGTATACCTTTTTTGTTGTTGTTCCTTCTGTAAGATTTCTACAACTTTATCTTCCCTTTGCTTTTAATCTCCAAGAGCTCCAAAGAGAACAAAGGTTTGTCAGATGTCCCTTTTTAGCAGCACTGTTCTCGTTTCATGAATCTCTTTTCTCTGAGAACATTCTGGATTGTTGTTTCTTTTATTGATTTATCTATTATTATTTTTTAGAGGAATGAGGAGGGAGAGACAGAAATATCATGTGATAGAGAAACTGACTGGCTGCCTCTTGCATGCCCACTACTGGGGGTCCAGCCCACAACCCGGGCATGTGCCAGGAGCAGGAATTGAACCAAAACTCTTTCGGTGAATGGGAGGAAACTCAACCAACTAAACCACACCAGCCAGGGCATGGACTGTTCCTGTTTTATAACTTCCCTTCTCCCTGTAGAATCAATTTCCTGGAGTCTTTTTTTCTGTTTGGGTCTGTTTCCCACACTGGACCTTCCTCAGATCCCTGGACAATCCCGTTGTCTACTCACAACGAAGCGTAAGGGCTGAGACAAGCGGGCAGGAGGCCCACAGGCATGTGGGGAACACAGGGACTCACACCTAAGCTGGAGGCTGGTGGGAACTCTGTGGTGCTGGTGTTATTGGGTCTTTCTTCTTGGACCAGCTGGGGTCTTCAGTCTCATGCCTGGTTCTAGAATCTGAAGGCAGGAGAGGGGTAGTGGCTCTCTCCATTTAGCATTCATTAGGTACAGTACCTAATCCCATTTGCCACCACATTCCCTACCATGCCTGGCTTCCTCCCAGCAGTGGTGTCATGGCAAGAAAATAAGCGCCCGAGAACTTTCCAAACAACTCCCTGGCCAGCAGCCTCCCTCTCACCCCCACCCTCAGCCTGGCCTATTGAGACCTGCTGTGGTCAGTGCCTCTGGACGTTTCTTTGAGTAAATCAAGCTGTTTCCTGGGCTTTGGCATCCATGAGTTTAGCAGTCAATCGTGGCTCCTCCCTTAATTACACCTTAATTACTATGTAATGGAACATACTGCGGCCTTGTGTTTTAACTAGAGATTTGAGAAGGATCAAAATTGGATGTTGCATTTAGTTTGCCTCAAGCCAGGTGTTTGTTTTTTTCTAAAATTTTAAAAAATAATTTTTTTATTGATTTCAGAGAGGAAGGGAGAGGGAGACAGAGAGATAGAAACACCAATGATGAGAGAGAATCATTGATAGGTTGCCTCCTGCACACCCCACAATGGACATCAAGCCTGCAACCTGGGCATGTGCCCTGTAGGGGGATTGAACTGTGACCTCCTGGTTCATAAGTCAGTGTCCAACTACTGAGCAACACCGGCCGGGCTAACCCTTGTTTTTTTTTTTTTTTTTTTTTTTTTTTTTTATATATATATTTTATTGATTTTATATAGAGAGGAAGGGAGAGAGATAGAGAGTTAGAAACATCGATGAGAGTCATCGATCAGCTGCCTCTTGCACATCCCCTACTGGGGATATGCCCGCAACCAAGGTACATGCCCTTGACCGGAATCGAACCCGGGACCCTTCAGTCCCCGAGCCGACGCTCTATCCATTGAGCCAAACCGGTCCCGGCATAACCCTTGTTTTTAATATACTTTTCATGTGTATCCACATAATAGAAGCATAAGATGCTGACTGATTCGTGAGTCATTCAATAAAGCCTATTAAGACCATTAAAATGTACTCAGTTGAATCTTGGCTTTTCAGCCACGTGTATGTTGTCCTACATACATGCATACATAGTGGGTTCCCACTGTCGCCACAGTGACAGAAAAATTCCAGAGTCAGAGAGGGCCCCCCATCCTCCTCGCCCTGGGCCTATGGCCTCAGCAACATACCCATTTGCCCGTGTGTGACCCTTACAGGAAAGCAGTCCCCATGGACCTGAGTCGAGGGCAGCAGCCACTGTGGCCCAGCCCAGAACCAGGGGCCCACCCACCCCTCTCACCTCTCTCTCCCTCCAGATCCCTTCTTTTCCCCCTTTTTAAAAGCCACCCTCTGGTATTGCTCTGCGGTCAAACCTGATGGACATGCAGTCCAGAACAATGGCTGCGGGACGCTGCCAGCAGCCGCGGGAGAGTTTCGAGGCAGAAGCTCAGGCACTGCGGTGAAGGGTTGAGCACAGGCCTCCCAGGCCCTCTTGCACCTGGGGATACTGAGGCACACACACCGAGGGCGGCCGAGGGGTTCAGGAGTCTCTCCGGGCGGCTAGGAGCCTGCCAGGTGCTGATGGAAGTAGAGGCCGAAGAGGCTGGAGAGCAGCTGGCAGGCCGCCGTCCACCAGATGAGGAAGGCCAGGGCACCACGGAGGAAGAGGGGTGTGAGCAGACCGCCCAGGGCCCCGGCGATCCGGGCTGCCGCCTGCTGGGCCTCATCCTCCGGGGGGCCCACGGGAGCGTCTCGGGCTGCTGCCAGGACTGGGGATGGGGGGAGGGCCTGGCCCAGGCCCCAAGAGTAGCCGCCTGTGAGGAGAGAGTAGAGAGAGGGATGGGTGTAGGAAGGAGCGGTGAAATAGGGGGATGTAGGGAGAGGAGGATGAGGAGCGGAGGGCAGGGCTGAGACCAGGATGCCGTGGGGTCCCCAGGCCACCCTCACCCCACAGGGCAGCTTCCTCTCACCCAGCGTCTTGAGCAGAAGCGTGCAGTTGAGGGTGAGGATGAGTGGCGTCAGGTACTGCAGGCTCACGACCGTCAGGTAACAGTAGACCCGCACCACCTGGTGAGCAGGCAGCAGTGACAGGTGACCTTCTGAGCTCCCGCTCACCCCACACTTGCAAGGCACGGGAGGCCTGCCCTGTGCCCCAGGCTCCCTCCCAGACAAGCACCCGTACCCGCCGCTGGATCTCGCAGGCCTCGATGCGGCCAGCCTCCCGCCTCAGCTGCTCCACGCGGGCCTTGGCCAGGCAGAGGTAGGCTTGCAGGTGGGGCCGGGTGACTGCCAGCCGCAGGAGGCACAGTGCCACCAGCACCCAGAGGCGCAGCGAGTCAAAGGCTGAGTCCGACAGTCTGTACAGAGGTAAGGAGGCTGGTGAGGCATCCTTCTGCCCCAGGATCTTCCCCAGGACTCATGGCTCTCCATGGCTCCTCCCTGAGCCTCAGACTGGAGCACACAGAGGGGTCCCCCAGCTACCCCCCTGCTGACTCCACCCCATACACACAGGAAGAAGGATGTGCCCCCGGAGGGCTCTTGGTGCAGGAAGTTCCGGGCAATAGGCTTGGTCCAGAGCCACAGGATGAACAGCGGGGACAGGAAGCTGGTGTGCAGGAGAAACCTGGAGGCAAGGATGCAGCAGGGTGAGGCCTAGGCACCTTCCACCCCTCCTCTCCCCTGGGCTCCCTAACCGCTCACCCACCCATTCCCCACTTCACTGCAGCAGGGGCCGGTCTTCTGACATGGTCAGTGCGTCTCGGTGGGTCTGGGCCAGCCGCAGGCCCGGGAAGGTGAGGAAGGCGCCCAGCAGGGAGCCTAGGACCGAAAGCCCCACACGGATGGCCAGCTTGACCAGAGGAACCCTGGGAAGAAGAGACGGGTCAGGGAACCCCACAGCCCGGGAGCTGCCCCTGCCCCCTCTCCCTTCCCAGGACTCACATCCAGTCCCAGCCCTGCGTCTTCAGAAGTGGCTCCAAGGTCTGGATCATGCTGGCCAGGCCTGGGAAGACAGAGAGAGAGGCAGAGTGAGAACCCCTGCGAACTCAGAGCCTGCTCTGCCCCCTCCTACATGTCCTTTGCTCCTCGGGCAGGAACACACCGGTGGCATCCAGGCCCCGTGCCAGGCAGGAGGATCACTTAATGCTGTAGTGACGAGTGGCGCTTTTCAAAGAACAGGAGAATGGCCCTGGCCGGATGGCTCAATTGGTTGGAGCATTGTCCAGTACACCAGAAGGTTGTGGGTTCAATTCCCAGTTGGGGCACATATCTAGGTTGTGGGTTTGATCCCCAATTGAGGTACGTATAGGAGGAAGCAACCAGTTGATGCTTCTTTCTCACATCAATGTTTCTCTCTCTAAAAAATAAAGAACAGGAGGTTGTATCAGGCAGACCCTTGATTGGGCTGGGGGACGTGGGACATACAAGGGAGCACTGAATCGGGGCTTACAGGATTACACCAGGAATTGAGGGGTGTGAAGGGCTCCCACAGGAGAAAACCGGAGTCCTGGGAAGAACCCTCAGTAGTGCAGACCCCCAGAGTTCCCACAGAGTGAAAGCAAGGAAATATCACTGCACAACCCAAATCACCAAACACGCAAGGAAACAAATCACCATAAAGGAGATCCAGCAGGGAAAAAAAAGACAGTTTAGACTCCAGAAATTGGTATTATCAGCTTTGTATGAAATGACTGAGGGAAATAAAAGCTGGAATGACAGAACAGGTGACACAAGATGACCTCAGAGGATCAGGTAAATTTACAGAGAAAGCAACCTTTTCCAAAGGAAAAATACCATTACTGAAATGACAGGATATTAGACATTACTACATTAGAAACAGCCAAGGAGGAATTCATGAACTGGATCTGAAGAAATCAGAAGATGAGGGATATGAAAGGAGATGGAGACAAAGAGGACAGAATAGGAAGTCCAGCATAAGTCAAGTCAGGGCCCCAAAAGGAGAGACCAAGAGAGAGAATGAAGGGGAACAGGAGATACTGCAAAAGAATGGTTGAGAAGTTTGCCGAATGGATGCCACACACAAAAGACATCAAACCAGATAAATACAAAGAAAAACATACCTAGACATACTGGCGAAATTGCAGAATACCAAAAACAGAGATTGCAAAGCAGCCTAGGAGTTAAAATAGATCACCTATAAAGGAAGGTCAATTAGGCTGGCAGCCACTATCAAAGTAACAACAGGAAAGGAACATTATAGTGTAAAGTAAGATGGCAGAAACAAAGCTAAATACGGGCAATCACAATAAAAGACAGATTAAACTTCAAAGTTAAACAACATAGACTGACACACTTGATTGAAAATATCCAGCTATGTTTTTTATGAAAATATCCAGCTATGTTTTTAAAAATATATATTTTATTGATTTTGTACAGAAAGGAAGGGAGAGAGATAGAGAGCTAGAAATGTCGATGAGAGAGAAACATCAACCAGTTGCCTCTTGCACACCCCCTACCGGGGATGTGCCCACAACCAAGGTAATGCCCTTGGCGGGAATCGAACCTGGGACCTTTCAGTCCACAGACCGACGCTCTACCACTGAGCCAAACCGGTTACGGCCCAGCTATGTTTTTTAGAGACATACCTCAACATGAGGTCACTGGAAGGTTGAGAAAACAGAGATGTTAAAAAGACATAACACATACTACAAAAGAACACTATAAAGACTGTATCAAAACCAGGCAAACTAGACGGATGTAGAAGTGTTACTAGGATCACAAAGGGTCAAAACATCATGACAAAATGGATGATTCAGCCCCAGGCCGGGTGTACAGGAGGCAACCTACCAGTGTTTCTCTCTCTCCCTCTTCCTTCATCTCTCTCCAGAATCAATAAACATATCCTTGGGTAAGGATTAAAAAAAAGACAAACACAAAAACCTGCTTCACCAGGAAAATGTAGCAATTCTAAACCTGTAAACACCTTCTCAAACCATCTCGATATTTAAAAAACATTGACAGAACCTAGAGACACTGAGACCTCTAGCCTGGGGGGGGGGGGGTGTTAACCCATTAGTGACTAATAAAAAGTTAGGAAAGATGGATACTTGAATTTACTGGATATATAGAAGCAGTGAATATATGTTGTTCCAGAACACATGGTACAATCACAAAAACCGATCACTTTCTAGGCTCTAGGCAAGACTTAACAAATATTAAAGAACTTATTTCAAGTAGATCATCTTCTGTAACTAAGCAATTAAGCTGGAAATAAGAATCTTCTTAAAGTGCCATGTTTGAAGTATTTTAAAAAGGTTAAAAAAAGCCGAAACTGGTTTGGCTCAGTGGATAGAGCACCAGTCTTTGGACTGAAGGGTCCCAGGTTCAATTCCAGTCAAGGGCACGTACCTTGGTTGGGGGCACATCCCCAGTAGGAGGTGTACAGGAGGCAGCTGATCAATGTTTCTCTCTCATCGATGTTTCTGACTCTCTATACTTCTCCCTTCCTTTCTGTAAAAAATCAATTATATATATATATATATTTTAAAAGGTTAAAAAAAATCACAATGGAAACTTTGAAATACCCATAATTGCATGATAATGAAAACACAAGACAAAACTTAGGGGGAGACAAAAGTGGGACTTAGGAAGTATTTATAACCTTAAATGCTATAAACAGAAATAGAAAAGAGGCTGTATTTTACCATAACACTTTAAAAAAAGGCATAAAACTGAAAGAAAAATGGGCAACAATACGAACAGATTTTTGACAGAAGAGGAAACGTGAATCATGAATAAACAGGAAAAGAGTACCCCCCTCAGGTAACCTGAAAAATGCCCGTAAACACCCAGAAGGCATCGCTCTATACCGCCAGACTCACTCCAGAGATCTCCCCCCTGGGAAGCTGGTGCAGTACCACTCGGTGCAGGAAGGCCGAGGCAGGGGCCTTGGTAACCTCACCCGCCGCACCTGCCGCGCGGCTGGGACTCAGCAGCCTGCGCCCTGTGTCCGCGCTCTGGACCCCGGGCGGCATGGCTGGCAGATGCGCTGGGAGAACTGCTCTGAAAATGTCCCCATGGGTCCCAGGCCTGTGCCCAACAGAAATGCCTGCCCGTGTGTATGCAGAAACATGTTCAGTAATGTTCCCTGTGAGAAAGGGAAACTCTGGAAACCACCTGAAGGTCAGTCACAGGAGAATGGGATAATAGAGATGAGTGGAGTCTCACCACATCACACATGGTAACGGGATGAATTAAAGGAGCCCAGACCAAAACCACCTAATTTGGAAACAATATCAGAGACAGAAAAGCACAGCTGGAAGACGACATGTTGTAAAACTGTACAATAAATTCTTTAGGGACAGAGACATATGTGATTAAACTTTTGTCATTGTGTTGTTCAATGTTTTTATTGATTTTAGAGAGAGTGGAAGGGAGAGGGAGAAAGCGATGAGAGTGGACGTATAGCTGCCTCCTATATGTCCCCTACTGGGGGTCAAGCCCACAGCCCAGGAATGTGTCCTGATTGGGAATTGGTGTAGGGAACGAGGCTTAACCAATGAGCTACACCGGCCAGGGAGAAAAAGAAATGATAATCACCACGTTTGAGGCCTTGGCCAGGAAGCTCAATCAGAGCGTCACACCAATAGGCCAAGGATGCGGGTTTGATCCCGTCAAGACACGTACAGGAGTCAACCAATGAATACATAAATAAGCGGAACAACACACCGATGCTTGTCTTTGTCTTTCTCTCTCTTACCCTTTCTCTTCCCCCCCACTCTCTCAAAGTCAATTGAAAAAACACAACACAAAAATTTCCCTGGCCAGTGTGGCTCTTTGGTTACAGCATCTGTCCCCACACAGGAGTGTCCCAGGTTTGATTCCCAATCAAGGGTATGTTCCTGGGTTACAGGTTCGATCCCCAGCCCTAGTAGGGGCCCGTGCAGAAGGCAACCAATCAGTGTGTTTCTCACTTGGATTCTCTCTCCCTCCCCCCCCTTCCCATCCTTCCTCTCTCTCTAAATGTCAACGGAAAAAATATCCTCAGGTGAGGATTAACAACAAAAAAATAACTTAAAACAAACACAGTGTGAGAGACCGATTGGGGCTGAGAATAGGGGAAGGCAGTGGGATCAGGAAGGAGCACCAGACACACACAGAAGAGTTGGGATCCAGTTCTTACGAGAGGTGGGTTCATGGGTGTTTATATGATTATTATCCTTTGTAATTTACATAAATGTGTTGTTTTATGTATACCAAACATTGCATAATTTAAAAAATAGAAAAGTGGGGAGAATTGGTGATAATAAAGCTCAAGGAATCACCAGGGCCCTGTAAGCCACAGTGAGGAAACTGGTCTTTATTCAAAGACCATTAGAGTCTGGTGTCAGGCAGAGAAGTTGCATGGTCCAAACTATGTTTTTAAAAGATCAAACAAATAATAGAAAAAGTCAAAACAAAAATGAGAAACTAAGGAAAAAATAGAGAACTCATACAATTCAATAAAAAGCCCAGTAGAAAATTGGGCAAAAGAGCAGAACTTTTCTAGAAACAGCTTCTTCAGCTTATAAAAAGATGCTCCCCCTGCTCAGTTTTGCTCAGTGGACAGAGCATTGGCTCTTGGACGGAAGGGTCCCAGGTTCTATTCCAGTAAAGGGCATGAATGGGAGGCAACCAACCGATGTGTCTCTCACACATTCATGCTTCTCTCTGTCTCTTCCTCTCCCTCCCGCTCTCTCTAAAAATCAATGGGGAAATATCCTTGGGTGAGGATTAACAAAAAACAAAAGATGCTCAGCCTCACTTACATTTTCGCCCAGTAGGTCACCCAAGATGAAAAAGTCGGAGGAAACCCATTGGAGAGGATGTGGGGAAACAGGCACATTCATACATCTTTTCCTGAAGGACAATTTGTAACATTATCCAAATTCCAGATGCACCTCAGAGTTATTCCCATACACATTGCTATTTAACAACATAGTTTTGTGCAACAACATTTAATAGCAGAAGACTTACATGTCCGTAAATAGGGCCTCGTTAAATAATAATAGGACATCCATAAAATGAAATGCCATGTAGCTGTCACATGAAACGGTACCATATGTAGCATTAAGGGACAACCTCCAGTATTCATTATTTTTAAGGGAAAAGAATGAGGTGTAAGAGATATCTGCGCTCCTGCTTTATGTGAAGGAAAGGTGGTGCGTGGTTTTCTCTGAGGATCAGAGCCAGGGGGGAGGTGTAATTTTCACTCCTGTATTTATTTTATAAGTTTTGTAGCATTACCTACTTCCTCCCACAAATTAAACAAAAGTAGGTAAATAATAAGTTACTATGGCTGCTGGGTAGAGGCAGACTATCGGGGAACAGAAATGCCTGTGGGAAGAGCTACAGCCACCGGCGTCTGCCGGACAGTGAGATAGCAGGTCCTCTTATCCCAAAGCCCAAGGGGGCACCAAGGGTGGCCATAGACTGCCTGGCCCCAGGAGTCCCCTCGTTTTAAAAAATACATATTCTATTGATTTTTTACAGTGAGGAAGGGAGTGGGATAGAGAATTAGATATGTTGATGTAACATCGATCAGTTGCCTCTTGCACACCTCCTACTGGGGATGTGCCTGCAACCAAGGTACATGCCATTGACCAAAATCGAATTTGGGACCCGTTAGTCCACAGACCGATGTTCTATTCACTGAGCCACACTGGTCAGGGTCAGGAGCCCCCCCTTACACCCACAATGTGCAGTGGAACAAGTCACTTAAACCGCACGCTCGTCAGCTCCCAGGAGGGAGTGACTGGGGTCTACCCCACGCCCTGAGGCACGTACCTGGCTCCAGGCCCAGCTCCAGGGTCTCCTCGGGCACCACCTGCACCAGCATGGCCAGCAGCAGGAAGAGGAAGGCGAAGGTGAGGCAGACAGAGCGCTCGCCCCCCTCCTCGGCGCTGAAGTACAGCCGAGTCACTGTCAGGAACATCTTCCTGGCGGCGGAGCTAAGGAGGCTCCCACCTGGGAGGCCCCTGCCCACTCCACCGCCTCCAGCCGGGGACACCCCCCATCCCTAGCACAAGCACAGGCCTGGGCGTGGGGTCCTGGGGAACAGGGAGCTGACTGAGGAGAAGCGTGAGCCGATAGACAAGCCCAGGACACAGGTGAGTGCCGCTCCCGCCCGTGGAGTCATGCCCGTTGGCAGGTGCGCCTAGCCCGGCCCTCCGGCTTGGCTCACACTGCGCAGCCTGTCAGAAATGGCCACCAGTCAGCCTCTCAGGAGGCCCCGCCTCCCGCACCCATCCGGCCTCCTGGCTCCATCACAGCATGTCCCTCTGCGGACACAAGGGCTGACTCTCCCATCTGCCTTGGAGAGACCCAGGGCTCTCAGAAGAGTGGGGACCTCAGGATGGGCTCTCCTTCTCCCCAGGCCCACGGCACAAGGACAATCTCCTAATGGGGTCCCTAAAGTCACAGGTTCACCCTGTTTCCTGCGGAGCTTAATAAAAATTTTAAAAAAATAAATAAAAATAAAAAAGCAGAGGGGCCTCTCCTTCCCGGCCCCTGCCTCTGGGCGGGCTGGTGACGTGCTCTGACTGAAAGGCGGGCAGGGATGGGGTGTGCAGGCTTGGGGAAGGCCTCGGGGGCCTGCAGCACCCCAAATTTCTCGCTGCCTTTCTGTGGCTGCGGTGTGGGAGCCTGGCCCAGCCTGCCACAAGCGTGACTCCTGGGAGCAGAGATGAGGCCCCCGCTGAGCCTGGCCCAGGAGAGCAGACAGCGACTGCATTCCCACACGGAGTTGGGGGGAGGTCTGTGTCACAGCAGTCCACAACCCACTACCAATATAGGGGGGCAGGAGGCCTCAGTCAGGTTCCACATGCCTCCCCCCCAGCTGGAAGGATACATGGAGAAGGCAACGGTGAGCAGGCACCAGAACACAGCCATGTTGGTCTCCCGCGCCGGGCCCAGCACGTAGTAGTAGGCCTCTGTGAAGAGGTACACGCCTCCCGAGTACACGGCGAAGTCCACGAACCACTGGTACTCTAGGAAGAAGCGCAGGACTGCGGGACACCCCATCAGCCGGCTGCCCCCAAGGCCTCCCCCCCCTGCCCTCCCAGGGTCTCCCCCCCCCACCCTGCCAGGGTGTGGGCCAAGTGAGGGTGCCGGGGACCCACGGGACTGTTACCGAGGGCGTCCACGGCTGTGAGGGGGCAGGTCTCCAGCTGGAAAGGGGCATCGCGGGGGACACACAGCGTCTTCTCTTCACCACAGCCGTTGGCCCACCTGGTGCGGAGGGCAGAGTCAGGGCAGCGTCCTCCATGTCTCCCTCCCCGGCCCAGCCCACCGCTCCCTGCCGCGGCCCGAGGGCCTGAGTGCCCCCCTCAGAGCACAGTTTGGGTGACCTCTAACCACCAGGCTGCGGGCACCACCCACCCACAGGGCCAGCCCACGGCAAACTGCCAGGCATTCAATGCCCCCTGAAGGCAGCCCAGGAGTGACAGTAAACATCACTCATCCTGGGGTGTCCAGATTCTCCTCTGGGGTGCCCGTGCTCCTCTGTGCCCACAGGGGTGCCCTGCAGCCTCCCCTGAGGCTGGAGGCTCACTCACCGCTCCCGCCGGCCTCTGGGCCTCTGCTTCCCGGCCAGGGCCCGCAGCTCCTCCTCCGAGGGGTGCTTGTAGCGGAAGAGACTGAGGGCACAGACAGGCAGGTGTCAGGAACGCTCAGGCACGGGGGTAGGGCTCCATGTCAAGGCAGTGAAACCCCAAACTCCGTACTAAAGTCAGAGGGAGGGATGGGCCCCAGGGCCCCTGGTGACAGGAGGAGCAGCGCCCGTGGACGGCCAGGGGAAGGCTCCGGAGGGGGGCTGGGCAGTGCAGCAGGGGTGCAGACACCCCAGAATCTGCTGGCCCTCTCCTGGCGCAGGTGCGCACACTGTCCTAAGGAGGGTGCAGTTCCCACAGGTCTCAGGAGGGGGCCCTGACCCAAACAGGGACCAGAAACATGTCAGGAGCCGAAACCGGTTTGGCTCAATGGATAGAGCGTTGGCTTGGGGAATGAAAGGTCCCGGGTTCGATTCCGGTCAAGGGCATGTACCTTGGTTGCGAGCATATCCCCAGTAGGGGGTGTGCAAGAGGCAGCTGATCGATGACTCTCATCATCGATGTTTCTAACTATCTATCTCTCTCCCTTCCTCTCTGTACAAAAGCAATAAAATATATTTAAAAAAATAAAAAGAAACATGTCAGGAAACCTCCGCAGTGAGCGGAGAGTGGAAGGGAGGTGGGGGGGGGGGGAGAAGCAGCTGCTCTTCCGAGTGTGGCGGGGCCGTGTGTGTGTGTGTGTGTGTGTGTGTGTGTGTGTGTGTGTATCTGTCAGAACCGACCCAACGGTGCACTTCCAAAATATGCACTTTACTGTACATCAACCACATCTCAATAAAGTTGTTTTAAAAAAAAAACACACCAAACTGCCTGCAGGGCCCACGGGGGCTGGGGCTCACCTGCCATTGCAGAGCAGCCAGCGGGCAAAGGAGCAGTGCGGCGCCAGCCTGTGCATGAGCGTGGCCGTGAGCAGGGTCACCACCAGCTGCACTCCGAGGATCGCCTGGGGGAGGGACAGGCAGGCAGTGCGGCCAGAGGGTGACAGATCACTCCCTGGAACCAGCTATTTATAGCGATGCGGGGCAGGTGGGGGAGGGGCCTCCCTGGCTCCACATGTACCTTGGGGAAGGGGACCGGGGTGAGCTCAGATCCAACCCGGGGAGACCCCACTGCCCAGGAACCCCGCACCTGGCGGGGGCGAGTGGGATGGAGAACAGGTGCTGGGAGACAGGTCGGACGTGCTCGCTCCTGTTGCCACAGATCTCAGCCCTTCCTCTCCCAGCCCGCTGCTCCTCCTCTGGAAACGGAGTGCCTCCTATTCTGTTTCCTGTTCTCTCCTGACTGCCTTCCGGGCCTACAAGGACCCTGGTGTGTCCGGTGACAAGCGGCTCCTCTCCAGCCCGGTCCCTGCCTCGGCACCACCGCCTCGGACCAACTCCCAGCTTCGGTGCTCGCCGGGCGGCTCAGCCCCCCTCTCCCTCTCCACCTCCCTAACCAGCAACCCCCTCAGCTGCCACTGCCTGCTTCAGGGTAACAACTTTTTCATTAGGGATTTTCTCACCAAACTCTACATAACAACCATTGAAACAGTCATGCATAACACACGTTCACACACTCATTTGTAAACATTGCAGGAGAAATGTTTTTGGTAATCCGTCTAAAGCTGAAACTGCCTGGATACGGTAATTTTGTAATTGTGTAAAATGTGCTCAGGAGAGTTGCCTACTAATACTATGGCATTATAATGAACAATTAAAATGAAATCAAGATTAATATTAATAAGTAAAATTATCTTACCAGACAAAAAATAAGCTAACTTTATTTTTTAATATTTAAAAAAATACTGATTTTAGAGAGAGGAAGGGGGGCGGGAGAGAGAGAAACATCCATCGGCTACACATCCCCTAGCTGGGATGAAGCCCACAACCCGGGCATGTGCCCTGAGCAGGAATCAAATTGGTGACCTCTTAATGCCAGGAGCCAACTGCGCCACACTGGCCAGGGCAAAACAAGCTAGCTTCAAAAGGAAAAGCTCTAGTGGAATAACACACCGGGCCTAGCACTGTAATTCGGAACGACTGCTGAGAAATCCACCGTTACAATAACAAGACACAGAATGTTTTCTCTATGCCTGTGACTTGTAAACTGAGCCCATAGGTACTGTTCAGTAATGAGCGTGAGTGCCATCTTTCTGATCTCTTAATCCCACTAACCTTCTAGTCTCATTATTCCCTTCCTCCTACCAAACACAAACTGGCCAGTGGGCACTAATGACCCTGGCATTGTCAAGGTCTGTGGGCACCTCCAAGCCCCAGAGGGCCAGGCTTTCCCACCCATCATTCCTCCCAGCACCCCTCCCCTCTCCTCTGGGAACCCCCCCCCCCCCCGCCCCCGTGCCTCCCACCAATGCTCTCCAAACTCCAGGCGCCTTTGCCTGCTTTTCTCCTCCCTCTGCCAGCCTCTCTCCTATGTCCCCATCCTCTGCCAGGGTTTTAACCAGTGACCTGGCTCAGCATGACCCCAACAAACCAGTACCTCCAGCCTGGACCTCTCTACCAAGCTCGCAGACCTATGCTTCCCCAGGCTATTTTGGGGGCCCAGCACCCACTCCTCACTCCAAGAACATAGCACTGAGCTCCCCAGTGGATCCAGGATCCTTCCCAGTCTCAGAGCCACATGCCACTCCGCTCCACAGCTTGCGAGGCCTGTCGGGCCCAGCTCAAGACCACCACACCCCACTGCCAGGCTCTCTTCCAGTTCTCCCTGTGTCCAACCACTGGGGACTCAGAGGCCCACCAGACCCAGGCCCTCCATCACTGACTCCACCACCCCTCTACACACACACCTCCCAGGGAGAGGACCGTGGTTCAAACTGTGGTCCCAGCACCTACAACAGGAAGGAAGAACCAGCAGAGGGTAAGAAGGAAAGAAGGACTGTATCCTCCACCTAAGACAGAAGGTGTGCCCAGGGCCCCGCCCCCAGCAGCATTGGGTTCAGGGGTCCACGCTCTGCAGATCTCCGAAGATTTTCTAGAGCCTGGGTTCTCAACATGGGCCACCCCCCCACACACACAGGAGGGCAATTTGATTTTTAAGAGGGGGCAATTCGAAATTGAGTTATAAACAGTGATTTGATTTTTTTTTTTTTTTTTGCATTTCTGTGGTTCTAGGGGCCTCATAGACAGTATATAAATATATATTGTGACATATTTATACATTTTTAGTTCTTTATTATATGTTTTGAAACTATTTGCTATTCTTTCGCATCACTTCATATTATGATTATTTTTTAAACAATTTCTTAGTGATTTCTTCCTCAGTACTTCAACTATCCTTTTTTTATTTTTTATTTTTCTCTTTCATGGATGCCATGTTCTTGGGAAGCTTGTTCAGACCAAGTTAATGGCCTTTTAGGCTTCCTCCACGTGAACAGGAGCTCACTTTTGAATAATAAGAGTTATATCTGTGTGTGTGTGGGGGGGGGCAATCAGGACTTTAGAGATGCTTAGGTGGGGCACAGCCCAAAGGAGGCTGGGAGCCCCTGTTCCAGAGCCTCCCACCCACCCGTTTCCTCCCCTGCTCGGAGCCTTTGCCTGGATCTTTCCACCATCCCCATCCTGAGAGCCCTTCCTGCATCGCCCACAGCATCCCGCACCGGCCTAGCCCGCAGCCCACCTTCCAGCACCCCGTCCACCAGGGCTCTCACTTCGGGCTCATCTCCTCGCCCTTCCCTCCTGGGGGACATCCCTCCTCCTGGCCCCGCCAGGGTCAGGTCGCCTTCGGGGCCCCTCCAGACTGCCCCCTCCTTCTGTCCAATCCGACCCACAGGGGCTGTGGGGTGGTGGGGGCGCGGGGCGGGCTAAAGTTGGAACAAACTCAAATCTTGTACCCGGAGCCGCGAGAGACCCGTGGGTTCCACTGTGCGGTCTCCAATCTGGGGCCCCGCCCGCCCTGAAGCCGCCTACACCCCTGGGCGCGGCCCCCTCCTGGCAGGGTGCTCCCTGGCGCCTCTGCGCATGCCTGTGCCGGCAGGCACCCCCCCCCACCCGGCGCTGCCCCCACGCTCCTCCCGGCGGGACCCCAGACCTTCCTCGCGGGCTGAACGTGCTCGGGCCCCCGGCCCCCTCGGCGGGACCCCACACCCTTCGAGGGTACAACCCCCAGAATACTCAGGGCTTCCAGGCCCGCAGCGAGATGCTGACCCCAGAGAGCGGCACAAGGCGCTCGGAGCGACCCGGAGTCTCTCACAGCCTCCAACCCCGACAAAAGGACCTCCGTCCCTTCCGTGTCCCCCTGGACTCCCGAGCCCCCGAGGGACCCCACCACGCCTCAGGACTCCCGCTTACCATGTCGCGGGCGGGAGCGCGGTAAGCGGACCCCGAGCCCCAGCGCAGGCACTTGTGAGCATTCGACCAATCACAGCCAGACTGTGGTCTGACAAGCAGCCCGTGCGACCAATCATCAGGCTGGTACGCAGAGCACAAACCGGGAGACCAGGGGTCGCGGGCGTTGCATGCCGGGAGTTGTAGTTCGAAGACGTCCGACGAGCTCACCACGGTTGAATCAGGACAGTGTCAGGACACCTGGGTGACCGCCTGCTCTTAGACTCAGTCTCCTCACCTGCACCTGTCTCACAGAGCTGCGGCCAATACATTTATTTACCCAACCACTCACTGTCTCCGGTGGGACAGTTCTGAGCATGAAACGCTCCTGATCCAGAACATGAAATGGCCTGGCTGGCGAGGCTCAGTGGTTGAGTGTGAACCTATGAACCAGGAGGTCATGGTTCCATCACGGTCGGGGCTGTGAGCTTGACATGCCCGGGTTGGAGGCTTGGTCCTTAGTGTGGGCGCGTGCGGCATGCAGCCCGATGGCTGATCCTCTCTCATCAATGATGTTTCTATCTCTCTCTTCCTCTCCCTCCCTCTCTGATATTTAAAAAATAATAATAACATTAAGTGGCTCCCGCCCTAGCTGGTTTGGCTCAGTGGGTAGAGCATTGGCCTGCGGACCAAAGGGTCCCAGGTTCGATTCCGCTCATGGGCGCATGCTTGGGATTTCGGGCTCAATCCCCAGTAGAGGGCATGCAGGAGGTAGCCAATCAATGATTCTCATCGTTGATGTTTCTATTTCTCTCTCCCTTCCTCTCTGACATTAATAAAAAATTTTTTTAAAAAAAATTAAATGGCCAGAGAGGTGGGACAATTTGCTCCATTTAATTGATGAAAATACTGAGACTCTGAGAGGCCCAGATCTCCGCTTCTACTTGACCTCTCTCTTGGGCACCAGGCTCCTGAGTCCAGGTGTCACAGTGACCCCACGTGGTGAATCACAGGCAACTCACACACATCCTGGCCCCAGGCGCTCCCAATCTTCCCACCACCACCTCCCCATCTTCCTGGTGCTTATCCACAAACCCTGGAGTTGGCCTTGACTCCGCTCTCACCCCACACCTAACCTGCCAGCTCCTCCTGATGGCTCCACCCTCCAAGTGTAACTCCAGTTCCACCTGGCCTCACTCCCTTCACCGTCTCCACCCATCCAGCCTCCATGATCTCTTGTCTGAGGTCCCCTCCTCCCAGGTTTCTGGCTTCCATTTCCCCTCCCCTCCCCCAGCCTATTTTCTCCTGAGGAGCTTGAGGGCATGAACCTGTTAACACTTGAGCCAGACCATGCCCTCCTTTGCTTACAATCATCTATGGCTCCCAGTTCGTGCAGAGCAAAACCAGGCTTCTTCCCTACGGTGGAAGGTCTCCATGCTCCATTCTTCAAAGTTTGTTCAACATTTCCGTTCTCCACTGGACACTCGTTGGTCTCTGTCCTCTCCATCGGGTATTCTATGTCCCCTGGTCCTCACTGGATCTCCCTATGCCGTTCACACTAATTTCCCACATTCTCTGGCCACTCTGAGGCCCGCACTCTCATTCAAAACTGACCGTTTCACCACGGTGCTCTGAAAAATGCATCTCTGAGATATCCCACTTCCGTCACAGTCTTGGTGCCCAGGACACAGTTCCCATGGTGCTTCCAACCAGGGATGGAGCTCCTGGGGGGACCTGGGGGCCCTGGCTGATGTCATCAGGGTGTCCTTAGCAAGGCTAGCGGTGGGACACTTCCATACAGCCCTCCCTGCTTCCTTCCCAACAAAGCCACAGGGGCATATCTGAGGTCGGGACCCAGAGATGTTTCTAGAACCCAGTAGCCTGCACATTGTCCCTTCATGGATTAGGACACCACAGGCTGTACATGTATAATCACACACACACAAAACACACACACACACACAACACATGACACAGCCTGGGTCCCAGGCTGGGAGCCTAAAAACATGCGTGGAGCCCTTGGAAGCAAAGATGGATTTTTAAAAAAATATATTTTATTGATTTTTCACAGAGAGGAAGAGAGAGGGATAGAGAGTTAGAAACATCGATGAGAGAGAATCATCGATCAGCTGCCTCATGCACACCCCCTACTGGGGATATGCCCGAAACCAAGGTACATGCCCTTGCCCGGAATAGAACCCGGGACTTTTAAGTCCGCAGGCCGACGCTCTATCCACTGAGCCAAACCAGTCCCGGCCCAAGATGGATTTTATTTATTCATTCCTATCTCTATTTTAAAATGTTGAGTGGTGTCCTAACCTGTTTGGCTCATTGCATAGAGCGTCTGCCTGCAGACTGAAGGGTCCCAGGGCCTGCAGACTTGAAGGGTCCCAGGTTTGATTCCCATCAAGGGCATGTACCTTGGTTGCAGTCACATCCCCAGTAGGGGGTGTGCAGGAGGCAGCTGATCAATGCTTCTCTCTTAAGATATTTCTCTCCCATTGATGTTTCTAACTCTCTACCTTCTCTCTTTCTCTCTGTAAAAAATCAGTAAGATATATATTTTCTTAAATGTTGTGTGGGGAGCACAGAATCCAAAGCACATAATTGGGCGCCACCTAATGGCAGATGGCAAAAGTGCAGCCCCCGTGATGGGGGACACAGAACCACATACAGTCCCTCGGGCTCCCCCAGCCTTTGAAAGCAGCCACTTAGATTGTGGGTACAGACTTCAGAGACTGCCCTGGTTTCTCATCCATTGCAAGGGTGAGATCCAGAGGTCGAGAAGAGATCCTCTCTAGCTGTGCCTCAGTTTCCCCCAAGGGTCCTGAGTCTGCTTGTGTGGGGAGCTGTGACTGCAAAGTTTGTACACCTTCATGCAGGTGGCTAGGGTTCTTAGGACCTGAAGGAGGGGCCCCCCAGAAGGGTAACCCAGGCGGAGAATGTGCACCCTCAAGGTGACCGCCATGCCCGGGCCGCTGGGGGTGGCGGAGGTTGTATGCGCAGCCCGGATCCCTGAGCTCCGTCAGGGGCTGGAGGGGGGGCAGTGGTTCACCCCTCCTCTGAGGGTGGAAGGGGCACAGGGAGCAGGTGGAGAGGACTTGAGACCCGAGTCTGCGTTGGGTAAGAGGACTCCCCAGTCTACCTTGGGCATCTTACAGAGGCCCTGCGTTCACCCCACACCTCCCAGCACAGCTGTGGGCTCCACTACTGCCCCTGCCAGGGTTCCTGGTGGCTTTGCCCCCAAACACACCTCCCTCCCAGCCCTCAGCCTCCTGCTGCTCTTGCCCCTGCCTCCCCCACTGCGCACACACACACACACACACACACACACACACCCGCCACAGAAGCCCTGAGGAGGGGAGCTTCGGGAATGCCATGTCCCTCTCCTGGAAACGGGGTCCCCAAAACCCCTACCTTACTAGAGATGATGTGTCTAGGACTGGGAAGACCCATGGAGGACACGTCCTAATGGGTCTGGCGTGCGGGCAGCATGGTGCCCTGTGCACGGCCCCTGAGCGCGCCCCCGCCTCACCGGAAGGTCTGTCCGATTCTGCCCTCTCCCCGCCCCTGAAGGAGTCAGCCCTGGGTCTCGGTGCCTACAGAGCGGAGGTGGAGAAGGTGCTGAATTCCAGGGACCGGACTGACTGTGAAGCCTGCGGTGTGCCTGCCTCCCCACTTTGTCCGCCATCTGGGACTGTGTGCGCTCCTGGGGGTACGGCGGATAGGGTTTTACGGAAAAAGCTCCTCTGTGGGGTGCTGAGCTGAAAAGGGGGAACGAGAGTCTTCAACAGCCAATCAGCTCTGGATCCTTGGGCAATGGGAGAGGGGGGACAAATCAGATCCTAAGTTTTAAGTGCTGACGCCAACACTCTGTGTTCTCCACGGTCCTGCTCAAACTGGTGATCTGCGCTCAGCAGGCCGCCTGCTTAACTTAGCGCTCGGAGCCACTTCTCGGCTCTGCAGTGCAGACATGGAGCTGGGCCTTGCGAGGTAGGAGCAGTCTTTTACAAAAAGGTGGTGGGGGGTTGAGGGAGGTGGCTCAGAAATGAGGACAGCATGGTCCTGGGGTTGGACATGCAAGTGATTCTAGACGGCTCAGGGCAGCTAGTGAGGGGGACACAGGCAGAGTGAGTGGGGGCACCTGAGGAGCTATGAAGGTTGAGGGTCTGATCTGACATAAAGAAACATCTGAGCTGAAACCGGTTTGGCTCAGTGGATAGAGCGTCGGCCTGTGGACTGAGGGGTCCCAGGTTCGATTCCAGTCAAGGGCATGTACATTGGTTGTGGGCACATCCCCAGTGTGGGGTGGGGGGGTGCAGGGAGAAGCTGATGGATGATTCTCTCTCATCGATGTTTCTAACTCTCCCTCTCTCTTCCTCTCTGTAAAAAAATCAATAAAATATATATTTTTTTTAAAAAGAAAGGAAAAAGAAACATCTGAGGGCCTGGTGGGGTGGCTCAGTTAAAGCATCCCCTGATATGCCAAGGTTGTGGGTTCATCCCCAGTCAGGGCACAGGCAAGAACCAGCCAATGAATGCATAAATAAGTGGAACGACAAATCAATGCTTCTCTCTCTCCCACTTGAATTTGTTTTTTAAGATCCCATTGAGGCCACCTGTGGGTGATTGGAAGTGGGACGAGCAATAGGGCTCCCTCGGGCTCCTGCACCCCCAGGTTTGTCTACACATGGAACAGGTAGGAATGAGGGAGGGGCGGCAGTGCACATCTTGGAGCAGGCGGATAACTACCTGGCTCCCTCCGGTGGGACAAAGTGCTGAGTCAAGGGATAAGCCCATTTAAAAGAGGAACCGCACAGTATCCCAACATTCAAGATTCCTAACTGCTTCTTCTTTCATTTTTTACTAGACACCTGGTGCACGAAATTTGTGAGCTGGGGGCGGGGGTGGGGGTGTCCCTCAGCCCAGCCTGCACTCTCTCCAATCTGGGACCCCTCGGACATCCCTCTCACCATCTGGGACTGCTGGCTCCCAACCGCTCGCCTGCCTGCCAGCCTGATCACCCCCTAACTACTCCCCTGGCAGCCTGATCAACACCTAACTGATCCCCTGCTGGCCCGATTGCCCCCAACTGTCCTCCCCTGCAGGCCCGATTGCCCCCAACTGCCCTCCCCTGCAGGCCTGGTTGCCCCCAACTGCCCTCCCCTGCAGGCCTGGTTGCCCCCAACTGCCCTCCCCTGCTAGCCTAGTTGCCTCCAACTGCCCTCCCCTGCCAGCCTAGTTGCCTCTAACTGCCCTCCCCTGCAGGCCTGCCCCCCCTAACTGTTCCCCCTCTGCTGGCCTGGTCCCCCCAATTGCTCTCCCCTGGAAGCCTGGTCGCTCCTAACTGCCCTCTCCTGCTGACCTGATTGCCCACAACTACCCTCCCCTGTTGGCCATCTTGTGGCGACCATCTTTGACCACATGGAGGCATCCATCTTGTGTGAGGGCATAAGGTTCAATTTGCATATTACCTCTTTATTATATAGGATTTTTTATTTTTGTTAATCCTCACTGGAGAATATTTTTCCATTGATATTTAGGAAAAGTGGAAAGGAGGGATGGTGGGGGAGGGGAGAAGAGAGAGAGGAAGAGAGGGGGGCATAGATTGATTGCCTCCCACATGTGGCTAGGAATGGAACCTGCAACCCAGGTATGTCTCTTGACCTGGAATCAAACCCAAGACCCTTCCATCTGAAGGTCACTAGCCAGGGCCCCAACTGCTTCTTGCTGCAAGCAATTGTGGTATTCCCTCTGGGCCTACCACCTGACACTCCCAAAATCTGAGGGCAAATAGCCCTTCGCAGTAGGACAGAACTACTCCAGGGGCGGTGGCTGGGACCACTCTAGGGCAGTGGGTGGGACCACTGGGGGGGGGGACGGGGGGGGACCATTGGGGGGGCCGTGGGGGGGCCGTGGGCGGGACCACTCCGGGGGTACACTCCAAAAAATCCCCCAAGGCCCCAGGGGCCCAGCTGCCCACCAGTGTCACCTGTTCATTTGTACCCCCTGCAGGGCCCCTGTCCTGCCACCCACCAGGGACCTTTCTCCCCATACTCCACCTGAACCCTAACCCTAACCCTCACCTCAGGATGGAATTCTGGCAGGAGCACCCCAAACCCAGCCAAGCCAAGACTGAGGCCCCAGGGGAGGAGACTGAGGCCCCAGGGGAGGAGGGGTGGGGATGGCTCTGAGCAGCGACAGATCACCTCATCCACGGAGCCACGTGCTTTATTGGTGGGTACACACTCAGGAAGGGGCGACAGAGCCCGCCCGGACCATGGGCCCAGCCCAGCCTTCCTCCTCCAGGACACCCGGAGGGGAGTCACATCCCTTGGTCTTCTCTAAGGACACCGGAGCGGGCTGGGAGTCCAATGCCCTCGCCCGGCCTGGTGCGGGGTCGAGGCCAGCCCCACCCCGGGCCACTCCCGGGGCCACTACCGGGGCCAGCCGTCGGCCGCGGGGAGCCGGCGCAGCGGGGGCCCGGGCCGCGCCAGGAGCAGGGGGAAGGGGAAGGCCTTGGAGAAGTCGCCGGGGCCGCCGGGCGCGGGCGAGAGGCGTTCGGACTTGATGCTGACGTGGGGGGTCAGGGGGGAGGCACCGCGGGCTGGAGGACCCTCTTCGCCCAGGCTTCGGCCCCCACTTCGGGGGGGGGGGGGAGAAGGGAGAGAGAGGAGAGAAAGGAGAGAGAGAAAGAGAGAGGGAGAGAGAGAGAGAGAGAGAGAGAGAGAGAGAGAGAGAGAGAGAGAGAGAATATGAATGAGGTGGGGGCCGTGAGCTTTACGAGGAAGGGAGGGAGGGAAACCAGAGGTGCACGGCTTGGGCTAAGGCTTGGCGGGCGGACCTTGGGAAAAGAGGGGGTGGCCATCCCTCTTGGGGCCTCCAAAATAGAATCCCCGCCCCCCCCCCCACCTCTCCCAGCCCCGCCCTCCCGCCCCAGCACAACGAAGGGCTGGGTGCAGAGACAGGAGTGGCCACCAGGTGGCAGCAGTGGCCCGGGAGCCTGGCTCGGGTCGGAGAGGCTCGGGGCACTTACCTGGGCTGGGCAAGGCCGGCCAGGGGCCCGTCACCCCTCGAGGGCTGCCAGGGGGCCAGGGAAGGGGGCTGCAGCAAGCCGGGAGGCGGAGGGGGGTCTCCCAGGCCATATTCTGGGGGCGGAGGCAAGAAGTATAAGCTGAGGTCCCCACCCCTGGGATCCCCTGCCCAAGCCTGCACCACCCACCAGCCAGTGTTTAGTCGGCAGGTGGAGGAGTGTGGCCTCCCCGCAGGCAGGAGCGTGGGTCCCCCCACAGCAGAGCATACCTGGGGGGCCCGCTGGGAGGAAAGGGAAGGGTCCTGGAGCTGCCCCGGAGCATGGACTCTGCAGGCTGCCGTAGAGGCCTCTCTGTGCGGAGAAAGGGTGAGGGGGAAACTGAGGCCCACCCTCAGGCCACCCTGCCTGTCCCCACCAGCCTGGCTCTCCTTCCCCTCACTCACGGAAGTGCTCAGTGCCCCTCGGGCCCCTGCCAGGCCGCCAGGCAGGTCTGGCCTCCTCCCGTCCGCTGCCAGGTACAGGGGCGGCGGGGTCTTGCTGGCCAGGTGGCTCGGTGAGAAGAGAGGATGGGCCAGGCCTGTGGAGCAGGAGGCCCCCAGAGAGAGGGCCGGCAGCCACGTCATCCACGGAAGTCTGGGTCCAGAATGAGGAGCGCAGCCAAGCAGTGCGGGAGCCAAGATCCCACCCCACAGGCTCCCCTGGGACCCGCCCCCACCTTCCCCAGGGCCTGTGCCCCATGCTTACCCGGGGGCCCAGCTTTGGGGGCTGCTGGCCTGAAGGGGGACGGGCGGCTCTGGGCGGGCAGGGCTTCCCCGAGCCCATTGGAGTCACAGCCTGGTGGGGGCAGGGCCCCGTACACCATGTCTGGGCTGGGCATCGTGGGGGCTGCTGGCTGAGGGCAGAGAGGACACGAGTGGTTGGAGGACCAAGGAGGTGAGGACACCAAGTCCAAGAGGATATCCCAATGAGTTCAGGGGCCAGCCTCCACCTGAAACTCTCACTACCCCTCCCTCGGGCCCTCCCTCACAAGCCTGCAGGGGCCTGGCTCTGCTGCTGCCGGACCGCTGGGCCCAAAGCTGAGGCTTCTCACTCGGTATGAGCTTGGCACTGAGAGGGCTTCCCAGGTATTTGATGAATTAAAGAAAAGAAGGCACGATCTGCCTTTTAACCTCCTATTCATCTTCCAAAGCCCCAGCTATAATGCCCGCTCCTCCAGAAAGCTTTTCCTGCCCGCCCAGGCAGAGACCTACCAGAGCACTGGAGGCTTCCTGGCCCTTTGCCAGTCCCGGCCTTGACCACTTGGGCCTGAGAGGTGGGGGGGAGGGCCACATTCACGGCAGGGCAGGGAGTCACTTACATAGAGCCGGGGGCGGGGCAAGGCTGGCTCACCCCCGTCACCTGCCAGCCTCCGCAGCTTCTCTCCCGGGCCCTCGGGCCCCTCGTCTGGCTCCAGCTCTGGCCCATCAAGGCCCACACCCCTCCGCTTCAGTGTCTGTGGGGAAGGGACACAGCAGGATGACTCTCCCCTGGTCCAAGCCAGGGGCCTGGTTGTATGGTGAAGGGAGAGACCTGCCCAGCTCTGAGGTGAGTGGGTGGGTGGGGAGGAGCAGAGTGCAGGCACAGCCTGCTCCAGCTACATTCCATTGACCAAACCCCCAGCGAGTTATCATTTGTTAAGTTCCAACTGAGTGCGAGAGAGGGACCGTCTTGCCCTGAAACCACAGATCCACCTGGCCTGCTGGCCCTGTCCTAACACTCCTGAATACAGCTCTGGTATCTCCATTCTGCATCCATGAGCTGCTGTAGGGCCTGGCATGCAGTAGGTGCATAATAAATATCGAGAAACTGAGCACCATGCCCTGACTGGTTTGGCTCAGTGGATAGGGCAGTGGACTGAAAAGTCCCGGGTTTGATTCTGGTCGAGGGCATGTACCTTGGTTGCGGACACATCCCCAGTAGGGGGCGTGCAGGAGGCAGCTGATCGATGTTTCTCTCTCATCGATGTTTCTAACGCTCGATCCCTCTTCCTGCCTCTCTGTAAAAAGTTAATTAGAATATATTTAAAAAAAAAAAAAGAAAGAAAGAAAGAAAAAGAAAGAAACGGAGCACCTGAAGACAGCTTTCTAGGACTTTCTGAGCTCCCTGGGACCAGCGACCTGCATGGTCTGGACCTCAGCGAGGTCAGCTTGCTCCATGGTGCCTTTTCTTCTCTGTTCTGTCCTCACCAAATGGGCGATAGGATTAAATGAGATAATGTGTGTAAGAGGCACCTAGTGCAGCTTTCAATCTATAGTGGTTAATTTTTTTAAAAGGTTTTTTATTGATTTTTTTTTTTTTTTTGAGAGAGAGAAAGTGAGAGGGGAAGAGAGAGAGAAACATTGATGTGAGAGCAAATATCAATTGACTGCCTCCTGCACGCCCTCTACCGGGGATCAAGCCCACAACCCTGGGCATATGCTCTGACAGGGAATCGAACCCACAGCCTTTAAGTGTGTGGGACCACGCTCCAACCAACTGAGCCAGGGCCGGTGGATGTTTTTATTTCTGCTGGCCGGGTAACTGCCCCAGAGGGACACTCGAATACCCTAAGCCTGTGTTAACTGGCAGCAAAGACAGACTGCAACACTCATCTTCCCGAGTCCTCAGCCTCCAAGCCAGCAGAGTGTGCTGGCTTCGTGGGGAGGAGGGCCCGGTACCTCGAGGATGTCGCTGTTGGTGCGGCTCTCGTGGGGTTCGCTGTACTCGGTGTACTTCAGGAGCACCCGGTCCATGTCCGTGCTGGCGTACTGGAAGAGGCGGTTGGCGCTGTTGAAGATGATGAGCGCGATCTCACAGTCGCAGAGCACGCTCAGCTCGTAGGCCTTCTTCATCAGCCCAAACTTCCTTTTGGTAAAAGTCACCTAGACCCAGCACCGAAGGTGAGAGGGAGAAGACAAGGACTTGGGGTGGGGTGGAGGAGAAGGAGGGGCCTAACTGCTCTCTGAACATGCCCTGGGATTCTGTGCCTCTGTACGTGCTGTTCTTCCCACTTCTCAACCTGGCAAACTTCTATTGATGCGTCAAAGCCCATCCCAAATGACCCCTCCTTTGGGATGTTTTCCTTGGCCTCCTAGGCAGAGGCCACACTCCCTCTCTGAGCTTCCCTAGTAATGTGCCTCCCTCTGGTCTATCTCCTCTGTGACCAGGACTTCAAAAAATCATTAAGAAAATGAGCAAATGCTACATCTCAAACTCTAGACATGCCATCGAGACTCTTTCCCCAGTAATCCCCCCAAATGGCTAGGCCTTTGACCAGGCTGTGTCCCCTGCCATGACCACCTGCCTTCCCACCCAATGAACTCACTTGACGATTCCGTTGGTCCAGAATGCGTGAGATCTGGATTTTTTTCCTCCCCATGGTCCTGGGCTGGGCAGAGCAACCTTGGCCTGTGGGAGAGGGAAAAGAGGATGGAGTGAGTAGATGGACAGTGGGGTCAGGCAACCCGCCTTCCTCTGCCCTCACTTCCCCCTGCCAGGCACCGAGAAGGGTTGATGGGGGAAATCAAGGCAGGACCCCATTCTCAATCAACCAGACCAGGATACAGTTCATATTCAGCGAACACCGCCACACCAATTCCACGTGAGGGGAAGGCTGACCCAGGCCAACAGATGGCGGTACAGAAGCTCCTGCCCCAGCTTCTAAAAACTCCCCGTTGGTAACAATGGGGAGGTGGGAGCCTGAACTCCACGGGCATCTGTCTGCAGGAGGGATGGCAGTGCTGTGTGCTGCTCATTGTTGCTCACCTACCGGCTTGGCACATGGCAGATGCCACACATGTACTGCCATTGTGAATATTGACAACAGCCTGAGAGCCCTCAGCAGGCCAGGTCAGAGGGACCTCCGCTGCAATCCTGAGCCTCTGAACGTGAGCCTGACCCGCCCATCGGACACCTTTCAACTCGTACAGCACCCAATCGCTCCTCAAACTGAGGCCGAGGCCTGCGATTACGGAAACAAACAATCCGGCTGGCGTAGCTCCGTGGTCGGATGCTGACCTATGAGCCGGGAGGTCAGAGCACATGCCTGGGTTATGGGGCTCAGGGGTGTGTGTGTGTGTGTGTGTGTGTGTGTGTGTTGGGAGCATGCAGGAGGCAGCCGATCAATGATTCTCTCATCATTGATGTTTCTGTCTCTCTCTCCCTCTCCCTTCCTCTCTGAAATCAATTAAAAAATATTTTAAAACTAAAGTGCACAATTCAGTAGCATTTAGCTATTCACAATGTTGTAGAAGCATCACCTCTATGCAGTTCCGGAAATTTTCATCCCCCAAAAAGAGACCCCCTTCCCATGAGTAATCACTTCCCCCACCCCGCCCCCGGCATCCACTGACTGCTTCCTGGCTCTCCGGCGCTGCCTGTTCTAGAAATTTTATGTAAACGGGATCATACGATGTGCAGCCTCTTGTGTCTTCTCCCCCTGCCCCTTTTTTGATTATTTGAACTTTCTAACTTTCCCCTCAGTGATTATGGACTATTTCTGTTTAAAAATTTTTTCATTAAAAAAACAACAAAAAACTTTAAATAACAGAAACCCACCCTGCCCCCCTTCCTACCACAAGGAGGCGAGGACGCCCTGGAGAGACCTTAGGCTTGGAGCCCTCAGACCCCGTTTTGGGCCCAGAGCAACGTAGGCGACACCCTGACCCTCCTCCCGGGGACCTCAGATCTCCCCAGTGTGAGCCCCAAAAGGGAGAGCGGGCAACCCAGGGCGGACAGCATGTCCCAAAGACAAGCAGCATGTGGGCCAGGCCTTCCCCAGTGCCCCGTGCAGGGGTCCTTGGGACGAAGAAACCTGTCGTGAGGCACCCATCATGCTGTCCAGTCAGCCACCCCAGGCCCTGAGGTCCCCGACACCCCTCCACTACTCTGGGACCACACTGGACCCCCAGCCCCTCCCGTGTCACAGGTGACCGAGGCAGCGTCGCAGGCCCGCCCAGGGTAAGGGGGCAGCGCTGAGATCCCAGCCGGTCTCCAGCCCACGGGCAGCCCTCAGCCATGGGGGCCTCCCCCGGCCTCAGCTTGCTGTTGTGTGACTGGGTGGGTGTGAAATGCAGAGCACCTGGCCCAGACCTGGAAACAGGCCCCGGGGAAGGATAGGGAAATGAGGTCTGTCTCCGAGAGTAGCCATAGCTGCTTCTCTGAGGCAGTGGGTGGGACCCCCTGCACCCCAGAGGCCCAGGGCCCAGGGCTGTCAGATGCCTTGGCCGTCGTAAGTGGTTCGCTGTGTGACCGCAGGAGTGCCCTCTGCCTTCTCTGGGCTGGATTTCTGAGCCGTCACCACTAGGCAGAGCCCAGCCGATCAGACACCCCCCACCCCCCCCAGCTCCAGTCTGATTTGCTAAATTTAACCTTTGGAGCTAATTTTAATCCCTGGCTGGAAACGGGCTCGTTCCCACGGCTGGGATATGGTGCCCTCGCCCGGATGGGTCCCCGGGGACAGAAGTGGGGCCCTGGTCCGGAGGTCCCGGTGCCAAGATGACTCCGGAAGTGCCCCCCACGCCCGGGGTCCCATGGGAACCTGGGATGTGAACCCGAGAATCTGAGCCTGGAGTATCTGACTCCGGCCCCTTCTCAGGCTGTCCCCGTTTTAGACAAGGACATCCCTGCCGGGGCAGGGGTCATGTCGTGGGGGAGCCGCGAGAGCCAGAAGGTCACGGGGGTCTCTCTGAACTGAGACAGGAAGTGAGCTCCAGCCAGAAGGGACAGCAGGTGCAAAGGCCCTGAGCAGGGACGAGACGCAGCAGCAAGCCTGGGCGGAGGAGCCTGAGGGAGAGGCCTCAGACGCAGGGCCCCTCCGGGTCCTCTAGCTGTGGGGGAGGCTGCGAGGTTGGGTCTAAGAGCAACGGAGAGCCGTGGGAGGGTTGGAGAAAGCGGGATGGAGTTTTAGTTATCATTGCTGGGGGGTTGGGGGGCGACCAGGGTAGAGATGGCAGGATGCTGGAGAAGAGGCCAGAGCCGCATCCATCTGGGCAGAAACTGGGGGTGAAGTCAGGGTATCCCAGGTCTCTTTGGGTCCGTCAGAAGGTCCCCCAGGTCCCCCACCTTCCCCAGGGTCTGGCCTGACAGACTCTTCTAACCTCCCGTGACCCTGGAATTCCCAGTCCTCTCCCAGGAACTACAGGCATCCCCTGAGCTGGCCCTGGAGGGATCAGCCCAGCACAAAGCCTTGATCCTGTCCCTCCCTGCTCACACACTCTTCATGGCTCCCCACTACCATCAGGAGGCAGTGTCACTTCCCAGCCTGGCATTCAAGGCCCTGCCTCGGTCAGTCCCTGCCCACCGTTCTCTACCTTCAACAACTCCTATTCACACGTCAAAACCCAGCTCAAAAAACTCATCCCTCACCCTGGCCTGTGCGGCTCTGCTGGTTGAGCATAATCCCAAAGGTGCTGGTTCAATTCCTGGCAGGGGTTTCAGGCTTGATCCCTAGTAGGAAGCATGTAGGAAGCAACGGACTGATGCTTCTCTCTCCCGGTCCCTTTCTCCCTCTCTGAAATCAATAAAAACATTTTAAATAGAGCCAAAACCGGTTTGGCTCAGTGGATAGAGCATCAGCCTGTGGACTGAAAGGTCCCAGGTTCGATTCCGGTCAAGGGCATGTACCTTGGTTGTGGGCACATCCTCATTTGGGGACTGTGCAGGAGGCAGCTGATCAATGTTTCTCTCTCATCAATGTTTCTAACTATCCCTCTTCCTTCGTCTCTGTAAAAAATCAATAAAATATATATATATATATTTTTTAATAAAGTAAAATAATAAATACAGTGTGTGTGTTTTTAATCCATTCCTCCATGAAGCCCTCCTGATCTCAATCTAGACTGCTACAGCTGCCATCCTTCCCTTCCGTTCTGACCCCATGGGGCTGGGGGTGTGTACATCCATGGAGCTGGGATCCAGGCTGGAAGCCTCAGGGTCAGATAGAGGGGTTGTTGGGTAGAGTTGGTGAATGGAGTGGTTAAAAGAGGCACGTCTGAACTACCCCCAGCTTCCCTCAACAACTTCCTCTCAGACTCCCCCAGCTGACTCCCTACCCAGAAATACACGCGCATGCAAATCCAGCCACCGAGTGGACCTGTCTCAGGCCCAGGTGTGAAGGGCCAGCCAAGGAATGTGGGGGTGGGAGACCCAGGGTGTGCATGTATATTTGCACTCACATGCAAATCCCCACCCCGAGCCGCAGACAGACCAGCGGCCAGCGCTCCAGATGTTGGGGTGATCGGAACTGCTGGGGGGAGGTGGTGGCGGCCGCTGAGTGTGCCAGGCACGAGCGGGGGGAGGCTGAGGTTTGGGGAAGCCTCTTCTGTGCACCCCCACACTCATGTCCAGCCAGAGAGCAAAGAGTCTGTGGCATCTGCCCAGCGGAGAGGCGGAGAGGTAGATCCATGGACAGGAAATGGAGCAAGAAGGAAGGGTCAGGAGAAATCCAGAGGGCATCTCAGAGGAGGAAGCATGGAATCGGGCCTCAGGGGAGAGACTGGATGGGGCCTGAGCAGATGGGCAGTGGGGTGGGCATTTGAAACCGAGAGACCACTTCCCCAACCTTTCTTCACACCCTTGTACTTAACATTCATTACGATCAACCGTGCTCCGACCACTGGGAAACCAGCCCTCACAGGTAGAAAGTGTAAGGGGAGCCATGGCCGCGGAAGCCTGGAAACGTGACTGACCTACCACCAACAGACAGCGGGCCCAGAGGCTGTACGGCTGTTTTATCAGGGCTCCTGTTTTATCAGGAGCGTGAGGGGAGTCAGTGGTGGGAGGTCTGGGGGAAGGTGGTCCTACTGTGAACTGCAAGGGCCAAAGGTCAGAGTGATTGTGAGTTTGGCATTTGGGGGGGGGGGGGAGGAAAAAAGCAAAGAAGTCTGTATGGCTAGACAGCATGGCCAGGCGGAGAGGTGGCGAGCATGGTGGCGGGGGTGGGGGGGGATTGTGGAGGTTTTGGGTCGTTTAGGTATTTGTGGGCTTTACTCTGAGGACAACGGGAAGCCACCGAGAGTTTGGGGGCCGGGGAGGGTCAGGATATGACTTTAATGTTAAAACAAAACAAAAAAAAACCTTGCTCTCTCATGTGCTGTTGGCGGGAGGGGAAGGAGGTGCAGCCACTGTGGAGAACTGGCACGGAATAAATGTGAACATGTCTCACCTGTGACACAGTGACCTCTCATCTCAGCATGCACCCAATAGAAACGGGCCTAGGTTTTACCAGAGGCCTCGGCTCCATTCATCACGGCCCAAACTGGAAACAGCCGGACACCCTCCGGGGGGGAATTGGCAACGCTTCCCGGCAGACGCCACAGCGGACTGCGGCACCGCACGGAAGCAGGATGTGCTCTGGCCCCGTGTGTCCACGGCGGACTC